ACCCTAACCCTAACCCTAACCCTAACCCTAACCCTAACCCTAACCCTAACCCTAACCCTAACCCTAACCCTAACCCTAACCCTAAGGAATACTACTAATCATCTAGTATAAGCTAGGAGTAGTTAAAGCGAGATTGAGTAGTAGGAAGTAGCTCTCCGCACTTAGCGCTAGTACTATAGAAGTCGTCGGAGAACTAGAAAGCTGTAGTTATAGAAGATAGTACAATAGAGGTATTAACTAAGGACTATAAGTCCTCGAGCTAGTCTAGCTAGATGAGAAGAGCCTATTAAGTGTCTAATTAAGTTACTAGACGAAGCATATTATGAAATATAGTAGTGGTAAGGTGTATAAAGCGGCCTTTTAGTCTACTAAGGCCTACTAACATTCTATACACTATATACTTACTTCCTTGCATACGGCTCAACAAGCTCGGAAAGTTACGTGTATAGCTAATATCTATACTTCTTATTAGCTAATAGCTTCTAACTATATTATAGACACACGCTTTCGTTATACTAAGCCTTATTCGATATAGCTTGTAGTTTCTTAGCATGGAACAAACTACGGCAGTTAGATTACCCTATATATAGGTATCTAGTCAGATACGCTAAGGGTTCTACCTATTTTATATACTAGCTAGTGGTCTTGCTACTTCAATAGTCTTAATCTTATAGAGGTGGCACCCCTTCAAATTAAGCTATTCGATGCACGTACTATAATACTAAGAAGTATCGATTAAAGTATCGGTATTAGCAGGTCGGTTCAATATAATACTAATACTAATACTAAATTGATACCTTATTACCTTATTGAAAACTAGCCTGGACTATTACTTCGAGCTGGAACCTAATAGACTAAATTCGAATGCTAGTGCCTTACACTCAGCATGCAGTCGCTAGCCGGCTTGACAAGGGGGCCTTAAGCGTAACTCGTAGTACTAGTATAGACATTAGAGAGCTGATAATCAAGACAATCAGCCCCACTAGTCCATCAGCCGCAGCTGAATAGCTATTCAGCCCATCAGCCGCAGCTGAATGGGAATCCTCGTGTAAAAGAGGTGTTGAGGAGTTATACAGCCAACTGTGACTGCCGACAAGCGCTATAGTAGCTTTTATCCATAGCATCTTTGGCTGAAAAGATTGCAAATAGCTAACCCCAGTCTCCAGGTATAAGGAATATCGGCACTCTGCAGGGCCAAGGTGACTTGCCAAGGCAGGCGCGACTGCATAGGGCATCTATTCGGCCAATACTCTAATCAGTGTAGTATAAATGGCCGTAGCCCCAAGGCTCTGGAAGCTGAGGCGCCTTTCTCTCTCACATTCGAAAAGTATCTCCGATCTTGCTAGAGGAGTTCTTTGGCGTCTCGTGTTATCAATATGTGTCGTCCACCAGAAGATCAATCCGGCTCAGAACAACCAGTTCAAAGCTGGTGTGGGGCCACCCAGTTACACAAGCATAATCTCGCCACAGTGCCCGGCTTCAGATCCGCAAGGCAGTTTGTTGAACAGTTCGCCCTACTTGCCGTTCCGTCCGCAGCACCGAGAACATGGGTTGCGCAGATTCCTGTCGTGGTTCACGTTGTCTACAATACCCCGGCCCAGAATATCAGCCAGGCGCAGATTGAAAGCCAAATCGACGTGCTCAACAAGGACTTCAATGCCGCAAACGCAGATTTAAGCAAACTCCCGGCAGTCTGGGCACCGCTCGTGGGAAGTGTCAACATCAACTTCTTCCTAGCGAAAAGGGACCCCCACGGCAACGCAACAAACGGCGTGACAAGAACGCAGACGACTATCGCTTCATTTGACCACAACTCTAAAAGCGATCCACCAGACCAAAGGGTCATGTCTGCAGCCCAAGGCGGTGCGGATCCCTGGCCGACTGATCGGTACCTCAACATCTGGGTGTGCAAGCAAGGCGGCCTTGAGCCGCTTTTAGGCTATGCCAACTTTCCTGGGACAAACGCGCTTGCCGTGGACGGCGTTGTGATTAGTCACACGTCGTTTGGGACAACTGGGACGGCTGCTGCAGGAACTAATCTAGGCCGTACCGGCACGCATGAGGTCGGTCACTGGCTCAACCTTTTTCATATCTGGGGAGATGATGGCATTGGATGCTCCGGCTCGGATTCATGCAACGATACTCCAAACCAAGCTGGGCCCAGTTCAGGCGTCCCGACCTTTCCAAAGCTCTCCTGCGGAAATGGACCGAATGGTGATCTCTTCATGAACCACATGGACTACAGCGACCACTCCGTAAGGGTAATGTTCACCAAGGGCCAGGTGGAGCGCATAAACACAACCCTTGCCGGAACCCGGGCGTCTTTGTTCGGTTCGAATTTCCGCCAGTTCCTTCTGCAGACCGGAACGGGGCTGCATGAGACCGACAGTACCTTCCAATTCATCGTGACTGACTGGAACGGCGACGGGCATCCCGACCTCGTAGCGATCAAGAAAAGCGGAACTGGCTCGGGCACGACCGAGGTTCATGTTCTCTCCGGAGCATCGCAGTTCCAGTCGTTCATTTTGCATACAAGAACCGCCTTGCACGAAACTGGCGATAGCTTTGAGTTCTTGATGCCTGCACGGAAAGGAAATCAACCCCCGGACCTGATAGCGATCAGCAAAAATAACACGGGATCGAAGACCACCGAAGTGCACATACTCTCCGGAGCCAAGAATTATCAGGACTTCTCTCTGCACACGAAAACGGTGCTGCACGAAACAGACGGCACGTTTCAGTTCGCGCTCACCGATTGGAAAGGCGACGGAAGCGTTGATGTGGTGGCCATTAAGAAGCGCAACACCGGCACGAAAAGCACCGAAGTCCACATCCTCTCCGGCGCCTCAGGGTATCAGAACTATCTTGTCCAGACGGGGACAGCTTTGCACGAGACGGACGACAATTTCGAGTTCATGATGACTGATTGGAACGGAGACGGCCGACCGGACCTCCTGGTGGTCAAGAAAACCGAAACGGACACCAACTACACGGAAGTACATGTCCTCTCGGGCCAGCTGCGCTTCGGAAAGTTTATCCTGCAGTCTGGAACAATCCTGCATAAAACAGCGGAAAACTTTCAGTTTGCGGTGGCCGACTGGGATAAGACTGGACGTGCAGATCTCGTTGCCATCAAGAAGCGGTATACGGGGACCGGTACCACTGAGGTACATATAATTGCCGGCTGAACTATAGCCAGTGCGAGTCTTGGATACCTCAAAGTTGTATGGAGGCTGTTATAGCAGGTGTCATCAAACGCGCAGATTTGGGCTCCGATATAGTAAAACCTAGGATGTCTAGTTCTGAATCTGATCTAGTATTACTACGTATTATAGGTTAATGCACCTTCTTTTCTACACCTTCTACCTCTAAGACCTTACCTAATACGAAGGGGATAATTCCACTGGAGTTATCCCTACTACAAGTATGCTCTCCCGTTTTCCCCTAGATTACGGAAAAACTAGCCCGTACGTGCCTCATTTCGTCCCCGTTTTATTTCTACTTTCCGCCTGATTCCTTGAAATTGTCCGTGCGTTCACGACGCGTCGCGCGTATCCCATTTATTTTTCCTATAGATTCTATAAAACCACCCACCTATTTTCATAACGCTTCCTTATACCTCCACCTAGAAATACATGCGCGAATCCACTCAGCCTATACCCTATTCACTTTAATCTCTAATTTGCTCACTTATTTTCTAGCCTTTAGCCCCTAGCTACTCTCTTTATAATTATAAATATTTACACGCACCTCTCTTCAGTTTATTAAGCCCTATAAAACCTGTTAAAAAAGTTTATTTTCTACTAAAAACTAGTCTTTAAAGATATTAGGTTATCTTATATAATATAAACAGCAAGCGAGTCGATTAGATAAGCGAGCCGATTATCCTACTAAGGTTACGCATCTTTATATACGAATAACTTATTACTATAACAAGCTACTACATCTTATAGATTATTAAAATATTACTTAGTATCTATAGTATCTTTCTTACATGTATACGAGTTGTATTCTACCTCCCTATAGCTTTTATAGTGCCTTTTACACCCTCTACCCGCACCTATTCAGGCCCTACCTTCGCGTGTTTCTCCCTTAAGTTATACTTTAATATTCTTTTAAGTAAGTAATCTATCTACCTCTACTTTTAATAGAATCTCTCTCTTCTAAATCCGCTTCTTTTTACGTTATTTATATTCTAATATAGCCTTATTTACTCTCTTAAGATCTATAACTCAAGCCGCTAGTAATACCTATAAATATAATATTATCTTAGTATTCTTTTTAAACTAATTAAATACTTTAATAATAGAAGAAAGCGAGGAGCTCTTATATCTTTAAATCTAATTATAAATAAGCGTTAATTAAGCCTCTATCTTATAGGTATTACTTAGTATTTTAGGGTTCTATTTAGTACCTTCTAGTACAGGAGGTATAAGCGTGCGAGGCTTTACTTTAAGCTTTAATAATATAGCCTCTAGGTTATATAGAACTAAACTAGTTACTTAGAAGCTTAATTACATATTCTTCTTTAAAAACAATTAGTTAAAACCCTTCTTAAAGAAGGCTAAGAATACCTTCTTATTAATATTATTAATATAACTCTCTACTAAGCCTCTAATCTCTCTTCTATATACCTGCTTTAATAGTAAAAAACACCCTATATTAGATAGCTATAGAATATACAACATATGTAGAGGTATATAAAGAGTAATAATCTAACTTTCCTTATAAAGATCCTAGAAAGCAAGTAACTTATAGCTCTTATAGCTATTAATTATAAGTAGCTAATAGCTACCTACTATACAGCCCTCTATATACTTAATAAAGTGCTTTAGCTAGGCTAAACTAAGCTTATTTATTATCTAGCTATTATTACTAACCCTAATACGCTAGTCTTTTAGTATATTATAGTACTAGAACTAATTGTGGTTCTTTACTTTAAAGATAAAGAAGAGTAGAATTACCTAGTCTTTTGCGTTAACTTGTGCAATTAATATAACTTACTTATAGTTACTAGATTAGACGCCTAATAGCTAACTGCGTCTCTCTAAAGTAGTAATAACTTTTACACTTCCTATAACGCCTACTATAAAGCTAGTCTCGTTAAAGTTATAGGTATCTTTATCTAGAATACTATACTTTCTCTTTATATTCTATATTAGGTTAAACTAGGGGCTAATAACCTCTAGATTACTATATAGAACTCTCTAGTAATTATGCAATTAAGTTAATTGAGATTTAAGCTTAAGTCTATAATAAATAAAGTTATAAGCCTATTTCTTACTAACCTAGCTACTACCGCGTATAGTAAGTAATTAGTTAGCTATATTACGCAAATAAGCTAGCGTAGATGTAAACCCTTATATATCTAGCTTCTTTATATATTAAATAACTACCTCGTCTTCGTACCTAGTAAGCCTTAATAAATTAGCTTAAGAATTGCGTTGTAACGTCGTTCCGGCGCGTTAGTTACTAATAGTACTTTAAGGAATATTATAGATTGCGGCAGCACGTTACTAGCTTAGAGAAGTATCTTCTTTTATTACTTAAATAGCTAAGATAATTTTATCTTTATAAGGGAGTGATTCTATATTATATTATTAAGATATTGTAGTTAAAAGTAGAGAGGCGCGTAATCTTAGTAGAGTAATCGACTCGCTTGCCGTTTATATTAGTATTTTATCTTAAATTCTTTAAATAATATGTTTTACAAGCAAGTCGCCTACTCTAAGCGAGTTACTCACTCTTCTAAGCTATACGCCTTTACGTGTAGATAACTTAATACTATAATAAAGCTATAGTATTATTTGCAATTATTTTAGGCTATTTAAGATTTTCGCGATTTTCTATATCTATAATCTTTACTTAATAGGAGCGAGAGTTATATTTAGTCTTACTATAACGCCTATAGTACCTCTCTATATAAGCCTTCTTTATAGGCCTCTTACTCTTCTTCTACCTACTAGCTTTATTAGAAGCAATTAAATTAAATAAATCGCCTACTATTAGCGTTTCTTTACTCTAAATATACTTCCTCTTATAGCTTTTACGCTATGTTACTACCTTAGCTGCCTATTAATACTTAGCTATTTTCTTATAGATTAATACTACTTTGTGCGCTATTATAAGACTACTTTTTATAAGCTAATTAACTACTTTAATAATAGAAGCAGGTGAGAAGCTCTTATGCCTTTAAACCTAATTGCGAATTATAAGGAAGTGGAACTTTCCTTAAATTAGATAAGCTTCTATAGCTTTCCTATTTAGGAATAGCGTAGCTTATATAAGCTATATTATATAAGCTAGCTAGAAAGACTTATTAGGAACCTAATTTACTATACTAGATTAACTTATAAGCAGAAGATTCTAGAAGATTCTAGAAGATTCTATTAGTTTCTATTAGTTTCTATAGGATTCTATAAGGTTCTAGAAGGTTCTATATATAGCGTAATATTAGTAATACTTATTAATTATATAGAAGATTCTAGATAGCCTTCTACATTTATATAAGGACCTTCCTCTCCCTTAGGAAGAGGAAAACGGATAATCAAGTAACAATTCTTCTAATATCTTATAATCTACTAGCCCTAAAAAGGCTACTAGTACTTTTATAACCTCTTTATAACCTCGGCCTATAATTACCTAAGATATTACTAAGCTATTCGCCTGTTCTAGCTTAGTAGAACTAGAAAAGCCTCACTCTAGTTCTTATAATATCCATAGAGGTAAGATATTGAGGTAGAACTATTAAGATAGTAATAGGACTATAGTAATAGATTAGATAAGGCTAGATAGTATATAGAATAAGTATAATACTAGTTATTATTATAATATAACTAGTAATTACTTATCTAAAGAACCTTAAGGCTCGTACACCTAATTTATACTAAGTTCTATATAATAAACCTTCTATACTACTATAATATTAGACTAGACTAAAACTAGAAAGTAGATTAAATAGTAAGTTAAGTAGTAAACTAAAAAGTAAACTAAAAGATAAACTAAAAGAATTAATTAAGATATAAACTAAAATATATACTAAGAGATAGATATACTAGGAAATAAACTAGAAAATTAACTGAATATTTTCTATTAGTTTAATATTCAGTTAATTTTCTAGTTTATTTCCTAGTATATACTAAGAGATATACTAGGAAATAAACTAGAAAATTAACTGAATATTAAACTAATAGAAAATATAAACTAGGTAAAAGAAAAAGATATCTCTTATATATAGAATTATAGAATAAAGATAACTAGAGGGACTTTAATAGAGAGAATACTTCTATCTTATAATCTACTAGCCCTAAAAAGGCTACTAGTACTTTTATAACCTCTTTATAACCTCGGCCTATAATTACCTAAGATATTACTAAGCTATTCGCCTGTTCTAGCTTAGTAGAACTAGAAAAGCCTCACTCTAGTTCTTATAATATCCATAGAGGTAAGATATTGAGGTAGAACTATTAAGATAGTAATAGGACTATAGTAATAGATTAGATAAGGCTAGATAGTATATAGAATAAGTATAATACTAGTTATTATTATAATATAACTAGTAATTACTTATCTAAAGAACCTTAAGGCTCGTACACCTAATTTATACTAAGTTCTATATAATAAACCTTCTATACTACTATAATATTAGACTAGACTAAAACTAGAAAGTAGATTAAATAGTAAGTTAAGTAGTAAACTAAAAAGTAAACTAAAAGATAAACTAAAAGAATTAATTAAGATATAAACTAAAATATATACTAAGAGATATACTAGGAAATAAACTAGAAAATTAACTGAATATTAAACTAATAGAAAATATAAACTAGGTAAAAGAAAAAGATATCTCTTATATATAGAATTATAGAATAAAGATAACTAGAGGGACTTTAATAGAGAGAATACTTCTTATATCTAAGAAAAAGAAATATAGAGAGATATTTAAAAGAAAAGATATACTCTAAAAACCTTAAGTATACTAAACTCTCTTTACTAAGACTCTAAACTATTTTAATATAAAATAGATACACGTTATCTTATAGAATCGACTATTCTTAAATACTTTAATTAAGCCTTTATATAGAATCTACTTATACTAGCCTTCGTTCGTTCTTTTTAATTCAACTATTATATTATCTAGTGTGACTAGAGTTGTAGTCTCTAAGGCTATGTTCTTAACAAGAAATCTATAGAGCTCTTGAGTATAATCTCGGTTGGAATAGTCGTCTGCTACTAGAAGGTAGTCTAGAAGGCTAATGCTTTTGATCTGCAGCCGGCTGTGGTTGGGTAGAGATTGTAGGAACTGTAATGCGTGCAAGCAGCCCATATCTAGAGAAAAGACGTTTCTGCTGTACAGAATAGCTGATGTGACGCGATGAACCTGGCGTTCCGTACGCAAGAGAGCCGATGCGACAGGCGGGATGCACTTGAATTTCGAGTTGGCAGGCTCATGCCAATAGCCATCAATATCTACGGTAATGCCTTCAGACGGGCAGAGGGCGTGCTTGTAGATCATGTCCCTTAGTTCTTGGGACAGACCGCGATGAGGGAGGTGAAAGGACATTGTCAATGTTTGTTTCGGCAGCTCGCTAGCACTAAGTTAAGAGCAACGTTCGGCGGTCGGAAGGAAACAAGGAAGAAAGGAAGAAACCCGAACAGGTCAGGTTGCGGATTTTCATTCAAGGCAAACATCGCGTCGCGGACACGTTTGCGCACCTACTCCATCCGTGCGTCCCACTAGCGTGTCGCGTTCGGTAAACTGTCTGGGGAAACAGCCACAGCAGACCCTAGCAAATCAACAGACCATGTCAATTTCCACGTTCGGCAGCTGCCTATCGGAGAGTTAACCCTCCGGCTCATTTTCCCGTCGACGGTGGTAAGGGAACTGATGGCATATAGTACGTATTACCTTGCTGTTCGTATCGATCAGGGTTCCGGCTAATTGCATCCTATCTAGCGTTGGACATCTCGTGTGCGTCTTCTGCAAGAGGCACAACGCTAGACGGAACGCCCCTGCAGCCTTTCTAGGGAACTCCCTGCACATGTCGATTTAATGCGTTGAGCAGCTTGGTTGGCAGTGACCCTAATTTTTTGACCGGTCCGGCCAGTGATTTCCACATCAAATAACGCGCGAATCCTCCCCGCCCGCTTTACACGCGCACCCTCCCGACCGCACCCAATCTACAGCTTCTTACGCCGACAATGACCACAATGGAGCGTGACAAAGCGATGAACTCGCAGCGTTTTCAGTTCCACGATTACACCTCCTTCCGCGACGATTTCAGCCTCGACGATGTTACCATCACCAAGGAAATCCTTCAGGATGAGCAGAGGCGTCCGCTGTCACCTATCGAGTCGGTGTCGCAACGCTCTCAACGCTCCATGGCGAGCGGAACATCGATGAACAAATTTGCCGATTTCTTCGGCAATGACGTCTTCCAGATTGTTCTCCACAACCCGACAACGGCGCACCAGATGCTAAAGTTTGCCCAAGCTCGGCTTTGTGCGGAGAATCTGGAATTCTTGGACAAGGTGAGCACGCGCGTGACAAGACTTCAAGCTAGGGAAGTAATGTTGAAACCCAGCTTAGGTGGACCGATACACCGAGCTGTTGAACGAGTTGTCGAAGACACTATCGGACATACATCGCAATTTCATCTCGCCCAACGCACCGAATCAGATCAACCTTGCCCAGACGGTGGTTAAGGATCTACGCATGAACATGAAGACAGGCATCCAGACAACATTGCCAAAATTGGAATCCATACTCACGGAGGCGCAAGACAATATCGAGTCTCTGGTGTATACAGACATCTATCCTCGCTTTGTCAGGCACCAAGTCACGATAAGCGCCGCAAAAGCACTAGCTGGTGACCGTCGCAAATACCAAGGCTTGGGAGACTGCTTTTGCCTGACGAATCCTAGGTACAGTCCCTGACTAGAGCGTCTCCTCTCACTTTACTGTGTACTGACTATACTCAGTAAGGCGGACAACCCAATCGTGTGCGCATCAGACGGGTTTGTGAAGGTTACCGGATATCAACGAAGCGAAATTGTTCCGCGGAACTGCCGGTTCCTGCAAGGTACACACACAGATCGGGCTCCTGTAAGGCGGCTCAAGGCCGCGATTGCCGGCAGGGAAGAGTCAGTGGAGCTTCTTCTCAACTACAAGAAGAGCGGGGAGCCTTTCTGGAACCTTCTTTACGTCAGTAGGTCGACATCATTCATTGCTGCGTCAATATCATGTTGTGGGCACTCTGCTGACTTGGCGTGCAGCACCGCTATTCAATCCTGACGGGAATGTCGCATTCTTCCTAGGAGGACAGATCAACTGTTCAACAACTATTCACAATTACTCAGATGTCCTACGAATACTATCCCACTCTGATGACGTCGCTGAAGAGACGGACGAGGTGCCGGCAATGGCGCCCACCTCCACAGTCAAGAAGAGTTTCTTCAAAGCTTTCAGGAGTCACAGCAGTACAAAAGCAGCTACCCTTGGAGAAGCCGGTATGGAACAGCGAGTGGTGAATCAAATTGGGAAGGTGAACCTCAAGCAACAGATGCAGATGTTCTATACCGCTTACTCGAAGGTAAGAGCAACCTCCTACTGCCACCGGACAATGTTGACATCGAACAGTATCTTGTCTTGAGCTATGACAGCTTGCAAATCAGATTCTACTCTGCCGGCATCATCGATGTGCTCGACCCCAATAATTTGGCCGGCCAAGAGCTCGTCGGGACAGATGCCTTTAAGTTCCTCGCCCACCACGCCACGACCGTGAGCCGAGACTACAAGTCCCAGGTCAAAGCGTCTTTGAGAGCTGGTCAGCCGGTCTCTCTCTATCTTCACCTGTCGACACGTCGTTCGGCTGTTTTCAGAGGCGATGAGAGATTTGTCACACATTGGACGCCGTTGAAGGATGAGCACGCCATAGTGAAGTTTATCGTCCTTACAATGAGCTCCACGGTGTCGCAATGAGAGTGGAGCTTAAGAAACCGCGATAGTGATACCCCGGAACGAACGTCTGTTTTATTGACCTATAGCCGAATGCAGACAGTGAGCCAGTCTGTTGTCTTTGCATCGCCTGCGTAACTTGCTTAGCCTGAATACCGGAGTCAAGGGATAAGGCCGGCCAAGTGGACTGCTAGACAGTACAGCTGGTGATACCGGACAGAAGGGCATCCGGCGTCTTTTGTCTTGAGAATTTGTAGACTGACAACGGAACGCGTCTTCGGCTATCCGGTGCCTACTCATGAAAAGTGGGAGTACGTCGGAATGGCCGAAGCCGGACATCAAGCGTTCTCATCCAGATACTCCGCTGGGTGTGTCATAACCGTACACCCACATTCAACAAACGGCGTTTGAGCTGGGTTTCGACTCATGCGGGCAGGAAATTCACGGTACTTAGCTTAGCCCTCCGAGGCGGTTCAGACAGCGCGCCGCGGTAGATATTATTGTCTTAAAATAGCTACAGATCTCGGCTGCTAAAGCCGTAGCATTGTTCTGCATCTTGTGGCGGTAACAAACCCGAGAATGAGACTTAAGATCTGCTCTAATGCGGCAGTAAGGTATGCACGTCGTGCTTGCGGTAAGGTCCTCGTTTCACCGTCACGGTGGTTCGCCGCCCTTCTAACCGTCGTTGTTTGCCCACAAAAATCCACGGACCCGCATTAGTTGCTGCCTCTCGCGTCCCTGCACGAGATCCTACACTGACATTACTGACTGGCAGTGTTCTTTTCCCCGCGTGCCTTCCCGCGTGCCTCCTGGCACGCACTAGCGCGTTGGTCAGCCGAGCTTTTAGCGTGGTCTAGGTGAGTTGCATCCTGCATGACTTCTAACTCCGCGCCTCGGTCCATGTACTCTAGACTCCACGCGAAGGATTGCGCAGCTCGATGGCTTAGGTGATGATCTCTGCGAGTAAGCCATATCATCCATTAGCTGCGGGGTCATGTGTGCAACAACCCGCTGGTACGTGTATTAAATCGCTGGTCATCTCTCGAATGCTTTTCTTGCTCTCAAATCCAACTCAGTATACTATTTTGGATATCAAAAGGCTTCTTCGAACAGAATCCACTGAACAGCAAGCATCCTTCTTGTAGCTACTGTCTGCTCAATTTGATATCGCTTGCCATTGCCACGACACGCTTTGTCTAAATCGTCTCTGATAGCTTTTGCTCAACAATGACTACAAAGCAAGAAGGCCGTCTAGGCGATCCCAATATGGACCTGCGTACCGATCCGCGAATGGATCCCAAACTTCTCAAAGCATTGGCCGCTGTCGGCCTGGACGCATATGCTGTGGACCCTCCCATTCGCCACAGCGATCTCCACGAGCAAAAGCTTGAATACGTCAAAAATGTCAACAGTAACTTTAACGCTTTCTTGAATACGCTGCCTAACGACCTTCCGGATGATCATAAGCGGGGCAAGGTCGATTACAGGACAGAGACGATCAAAGGAACCGACAATAACGACATCGTTCTGCACATCTTCCGCCCCGAAGGAGTGGAGGGGCCTTTGCCCTGCGTAGTATACATCCATGGCGGCGGCATGGTGATTATCAAGACGGAAAACCGCGCTTCTAAGACTTGGTGCGAAGACCTCGCTCTGACGGGGTTGGTTCTCATCGCCATTGACTTCCGCAACGCGTACACGGACGAGGGGCTTCATCCATATCCCGCTGGCCTGAATGATTGCGGTAGCGGTGTCGCATGGATCGATACTCATAGAAAGGATCTTGGTATTACAAAGATCGTGTTGCAGGGCGAGTCTGGCGGAGCGAATCTCTGCTGTGCGACGATGCTGAAGGCCAAGCGGGACGGCAAACTGAGTATGATCGACGGTGTGTACGCCATGGTGCCGTATATTAGCGGTGCATACGGCTGGGATGAGGAGAGAAAGTTGGCCCATCTGCCATCGCTCGTCGAATGCAATGGGTACTTCCTCAACTGCCAGCAGATGGAGGTAATGACTGGATTCTATGATCCGACGGCGGAGCACGCGAGTAATCCGCTGGCCTGGCCGCTGAGTGCTTCAAAAGAGGATTTGGCGGACTTACCGCCGCATGTTGTGGTCGTCGATGAGCTGGATCCGCTGAGAGATGAGGGCAGGGAGTATTTGAGGAAGTTAGTGCAGGCGGATGTGAAAGCTATTGGAAGAGTGAATCTAGGGATTACGCATGCTGCAGATTCGATTATGCGACAGGCGATTCCGGAGGTTTATAAAATGACTATCAGTGATATCAAGCGGTTTGTGGATAGCCTTTGATTGCTTATTGCCCTAGTCTTGTGCTGTTAGACTTTGCATGTAATCGAGATTCTTTGGTCTTCAAGCATTGAGGTCGCTATCAAAAGTGCTTGTACACTTGAGCAGCTGCAAGTAGTCATGATTTTGGCAGCAAGCCTCGCGGGGTATGTGTGGATAAGCCACAAGCCGTTTCATCTCGACTCACGATGGACCTATGGAACGGTCTAAATTCGGTTTTATACAACAATCGTCATTCTCAAGAGTCCACACTACCAGATTCGCGTAGTGTCAGATGAATTCTGTCAAGGTCTGATGAACAACGCCTGTAGCTCTGGTAGTAGAGCCTGATTTGCGACCTGAAGCTCTTGAACCACAAGACGGGAGTGAAACTCGTCGAGCGGTGTAGGTCGAGAAGCGGGGCGAAAAGTACCGGCTTGTCCTATCACCAAACACCCGATTCATCGGCCTTCCAAACTAACGATTGCGATGTCGTGGAGCAACCACACATCGGGGGCCTCGCAGGTGGTATATGCAAGCTTTCGCACTCTTGCACTCGTGGCGCCAAGTGCTGAGAGAGCGTAAAGCGTAAAAGGCTAAACTTGATACGATCGGGTCAAGGCTGATGGTTCTCAAATGCGAGATACGTGTGAATACGCACAATACGATGGTCGCGGCGGACATACTTTCTTATAAAGGACACTCGTCTGCTGCGATGGCTAAGACAAGAGTTCTCAGAATCTTGGGCCGAGTCAATATCTGTATTCACCACGTAATCGGAGCTGTTTGCAACACTCTTTTCTGATTCTGTAAACCATGGCTAGCAATGAAACCGAGAGCATCTGGCCTTCAGACCATTCAACCGTCCTCGCCATCGTGGCCGCCGTCCTGTACCTTGTGCCCACCTGCATCCTCTTTTGGCAGACTGTGATACGCTACCGCAGCTGGTTCTTCTCCTGCGTCGTCTTCGGCTCCGGCTTGGAGGTCGGAGGCTACATCGCGCGGGCGGTGTCCACCCGCCAGGTTGACAAGATTGTACGTACACCCCTAAGCCCATCTCTTGCTCCAGTCTCCAGAAAGCAGTCGGAGACCATGAAGTGCCGCGAATAGGGCTGACCGTTGGATTCCAGCCACCCTACGCAGTACAAAGCAGCCTTGTCATCCTCGCACCCATCTTCATAGCCGCAGGAAACTACCTCCTGATCGGCCGGCTTATCCGCGCGGTCCTCCTCCCGTCGAAGCATCGGATCCTAGGCATCAGAGCTGATCGGATCACCAGAACGTTCGTCATCTGCGACATCATCTCGTTCCTGATTCAAGTGTCCGGCTCTGGGCTCGCATCGTCGGGGGACTGGGAAGGTGACACGGCAACCACGGGGATCAACGTCCTGATCAGTGGCTTGGCGGCGCAGGTAGCAACGTTCGCGTTCTTCCTCCTGATTCTGGCGTCCTTCCACGCCCAGACAGTCCAACATACGCGGAGAAGCGTGCCCCGGGGATGGCAGAGGATCTTCATTGCCATATCCATCTCGTCTACACTGATCATGGTCCGTATCGCAAGTCCGCAGTTTGAGTGTAGCAGATTGCTGACGTGGTGCTCAGGTCCGTTGCGTGTATCGTGTGGTAGAGTTCGCAATGGGTATCGACGGCTACCCGTTCACGCATGAGTGGATGTTCTACATCTTCGAATCGCTTCCTATGTTGCCTGCTATTGCGGTCTTCTGTTCGTTCCATCCCGCAGAGTGTCTTGGAAGCCATGGAGGGCGTGAGAAGGAAGAGAGCTCGGATCCGGTCTCCGACCTAGCATTGACCAACAAGTCTGAAGTCGCCTAGGAATTCTCCGGAGTTGAACCAGTAGCGCTCTGCACATCCGGTTTGCGCTACATCATAGGCTGTCTGGGTATTTTCGTTGTTTCACGGTCTTTGGTTTTGTTGTCCAAGAATCATTTGTAGTAATTCAGAAGCTCGGTTCCGTTACCTCCGATGTGCGCGAAGATTTACTGGGATGTTAATGATCAGATACCGTTAGTTACTTTGCGGAGCACCGTGGTAGATTGCTCAGCGAACGACTCGTACGCTTGCTTGTCGGAAGTCCAGATGCTGCGTGCACATCGCAGGTTTGCGGTCACAGGTGATCTTCAATCTCAGAGACAGGCATTACCTTGTTGGATATCCACTCTGACACAGCGATGGGCCACTCCAAGTATGGCTGGAATGCATCCCCGACGGTCTTCTGAATGTTATCCAACCAGTTTAACATCGCCGACGGAGCAAAGACTTGTTCGCAGCCCAACCTCTCGTAAATAAGGATAGGACCCAAGACAACCTGAATCACGAGAAAGTGCGCAAGGAGGACTTGAGCAACCCGATTATCCGGACTTATAAAGGCTTGGAATGACTCCTGTGACCATCTACCTGGCCAACCGTACAGAGCGGTAAAGGATTTGTACGCTGATACATTCTTGTCAGAGATTGACGCCGCCGATCCAAGTGAGCCAAGACACATACCTTCACCAGGGCTGTTGTACGCAAGCCGGACCGACTCTTCGAGACGCTGATGATACTCCAGCTCTAGGTCCGAGACGCAAAGAGCCCCCACAGCATCAATAGATGCAAGAGCGGCATCAAGGGATCTCGCATCGATTTGAACGTCAGCAGCATTCAGCCTTTGCATCATGGTCGCCAAATGGGCTTCTGGGCGGAAGGCGTAGAATGCAGAGTCTGAATCCATTAGCTTGTCGTTAGTTGCAATAAGCTGGCATCCACGAATCATGGTCAGAAACTCCCCAAGCCCGTCCGGGAAATGCGTGACTTGGAACGTGAGGGCAAGAGCGGTGGCAACTCTAGCATCGCTCTCACCCCGGCTTTCAGCAGGCTTCGACAATGCCGAATTCAGGAGCCTGATTGCAACGGTGCGATGGGACAACGCAGCCACGGAAGTCTGCTCTGCCGAGAGGGCTCCCATGTGCGATGCAGATAGGGCAAGCAGTGCATGGATGAGATAGTCATACCACAAGTTGGTCAGCATCAGTTTGAATGATAGACGTAAGGTGTACTCACATGATGAGCGACAGCCGGAATTACCGTCGTCCAAATGCGATCGGCTCCTACAGGTAGATGGGGCCACCCTACCATGAGAAAGTGATGGAACAGTCTCATATCAGACATGGAAAAGGTCCCGGGCGTTGGTTGCAATGAAACATGCTGTCGAGGACTTTCGGTACGCTGCGGATGTCTAGCCGGCACGACAGGATATTCGCATCGCAGCTCAGCTTTCATGCAATTGTAGCATTGCGGAAGCAGCTCTTGGCATTTGATTCTTCGCCTTTTGCATTGAAAGCATCCTCTTTTAGATTTTGTGTGTCCTCTCCTTGACTTCCGTGTCTGAAGCGGGTTCCGTTCATGCGGCGCGTCGGACACGGCGGATGTTTCTTCTGACATCGTCACAGTGCGTATGTAAGTGTCAACCTCTTCGACTACAATCGAAGGTGAGCATGATGTGTCCCTTCGATAGCCTTGTTATCATCTACGTCCGTAGTATGGACTGACTCAACTGGAGGTTGCAGTCTGATCCTGTATATTCTTACCCTGCCATCCTCGTATTGGGCTTGGCGCTTGCGTAGTTGGGGCTATGTCAAGTGTCAGCGTGATCCTTGAATCGAGGCCCGTTGCCAACATTGGCTCGCCCAAAGCACGTTGTTGAGCGAAGTACGTCCGTAATGGCGAGGATGTTTGTACGCGTACAACCGGTCCTCGTTTAAAGATGACACGATAATTCTGTGCAACGCGGTGCCAGTGGAAGCTCTCAGCAAGAAGCAGGCTTGATACACCGCGACGTCACAGCTTGCTCACCATGGCTTCAAAGATCAAGGAAAAGACCGTAAACAAAGCAGCACATCGCACCAGCCATGCAGCGGACACTTCAGCACCAAGCATTCGGAGACCATCGACACCCAGCGCAAGCAATGGCCCGAGCGGCTCAACTCGCCCTGCGCCAGCACCGAAAAGTAATTCAGGGTCCAGATACAGGCTGCGCGTAACGGCCGGTCCATCCTATGACCCCTCAACCCACAAAGTTGTCCAAGTCAACAGCCAGAGTGCCGTGCGAATCTTCAACAGGTCCATGATTGCGGAAGTTCGGGTCCGGATTCGTGACTATACCGGCCTGCCAGCTTCCTCACCAAAAAACAGCCCCTACTTCGATGACCCTCTGCACCAGAAGGACCGTTGGAGCATTAGCTTCTCATTTGTGCCTAAAACGGATCTGAATGGTGGAGATGTGGTATGGGGACCGGATTTTGACCATCCTGTGAGAGACAGGTTACCACCGGGGTTCAACACGGCAGTGAGAATCGTGAAGAATTTTATCGATCCCGGAATCGAAAGCGATGCTTATGCGGACAGGCCGTGGATGTACTCGCCAGCGCTGAGTGCCTGGGATGCGTTTCGGATTGGGGAGAAGGTTGGCGGCGGCGGAGAGGTGAAGATGCCGCAAGGGAAAGACCACAAGGTGTTGCATGATGGAGCGGACGGGGATGGAATTCTGGTGGCAGAAAGATACGGAGTTCCCGGGGATTCAAAGCACAGGAAGAAGTTCTTCCTAGCGAACAGCAACCGGGATTTGTTTGTTCTTGAGAAAGGGCGGTTGTATCATGGGGACTTCTTCAATCCGTATATAGATTTCAATGGTAAGCGACCTGCCTTACAGCGTAGCAAAAGTGATGTTTAGCTGATCTGATTACAGAGTTTGCACTGAAGTTGCCTGGGTTCTCCATTTCGGTTTTAGACTACATCGACGACAAGACTCATGTGTTGCGATTTGTGTGCAAGAACCGCAACAGTGGCGATGTGTATTTTGTTGTCGTTTTCACGCTCCTATTCGGACAGTGATAGAAAGATTTATGTAGATTCTAGAGGCGCTTTAGCACAAACAGCACGCTCGCTAATCCTCAAACTTCAAACTCGCTTAACCAATGCCGTACAACAATCTTCCCTTCATCGAACATCTTCATCTGTCTCCTTACGATTATGGCAGCATGTGAGTGTGCAACGTTGTGAATATACACCGGATACTTCCGCCATCCAACCGTATCGAGGGCGTCGATCATCTCGAACTGCTCCTTTGTCAGAGCCAACGTTGGAAACTCCAATCTCTGCGTTTGTGTTGGAGACGGAGCAGAGGCGTCTCCATCTTCAGCGGCTGAAGCACTCTTCTCCACAGATTGTGACGAACTCTTCCTCTGACGCCTGGCAGACTGTGGAGAGCTGGCTGATGAAGAAAGTCCCTCGCCACCCGCTGAGAGGTACTCGGAGCTCTGAGCATGGTTCATATTCTCAAACACTCGTTCTGCTCGCGCCATGAGCGGGATACGGTACATCCCAGCACCAATTCCTGCTTTGCCTTCCTCGTGCAATCGAATACGCTTCCGGCTGAGGAAAGACTGGACGAGGCTGTTACTTAGGAACAGGACGGCGCCAACCGGGATGAATAATACGAGGAAAGCCGCAAGCGGCACCTTTGACAGAGCGGTCTTGGATGTCCCGGCAAGCCGTTGAGTGAATGAGGGAAGAAGCCTGTTTTCCTTGGCGGAAACTGGGTTGTCCGGATCTATTACGACAGGCTCGTAGCCCTTTACGTAGTTGATCCTCAGGGCGCTGGTGTCGACGAAAGGGTCAGTTCGGGAGATGCCGGTTGTATAGTAGACGGCCGAACGGTCGTTCACTACGTTGGCGTAAAGACTTCGGTGTTTGAACTGGGCGAGCGCCTTGATGAAGACACTATCTGGGTCTGCGAGGACTGATAGTAGCGGCCGGCCGGTATCTCGGAACGAGTCGATGGTAAACAGCTGCCTGCCAGAGGTGGACAAAGTGCGGGCGCCGAGGACATTCCATATATGGTTGTGGTATCCGTTCAAGGGTGTTCGAACGCCCAGATGAGGTGTTGCGAACGTGGTGAAGTTCTGCAGAACGTCAGCGATATCGCGCCGTGTGATCCACCATCGACTGGGTACTTACCACTGGCTCGAGCTTATCGAACCAACCGTTGTGATAAAGCAAGCCGATGGCATATCTTGCGACCAGTCCACCCAGAGAGTAGCCGACGACGCTCAGCTTTTTGATAGTCTGTCCGCTCTTCGCCAGCTCTTCCAGTGTCTCCTCAATCTCCCTCGTGACCCTTTCTCCGCCGAGCTCGATGCCATCGTAGGTGAAACTGCCCGAGTTGCGCTTGGCGACAAGTACGTGGAGTTCAGGGTGGCTCTCCCGTAGCGCTGTCGCTAGATACTTCAGGTGTGAAGGGTTGCCCCACAGACTATGGCTTTACGTTAGCGCCTGCCGCTGGAGCCCTCATGCGCCGGAGAAGCCAGAGTACAGTCGTCAGGCAGCTCATCCGGTGCTAGAGACGCTGATGCCTCACCGGTGGCCTGCTCACCCCGCATTGTTCGCAGCTTACCCATGAACCAAAACACAGAGGTGGTCAGCAGTCGCGGACGCAGAGTCAACGGTTTCCATTCCTTTGAGCGGGCTGAGGACGGTGGTGTCGATGCTGGCGAAGGAGAAAGGAAGCATGGGACAGCGCCGCGGCGGCTGACGTACTGTACCGGTACGGTATCGGGATTGCTGCTATCGGCTTTTCCGCGCGGCTGGCAGCGGACCCCTTGAACGAAGGGACGGGAAGATCGTCAGATAAATCCGGGGATGCCCAGCGCCTGCGCCACAAGACAGGCCCTTAACTAACGTCAACCACAGTCGGTTCGCTGTGACTGCAGGACGGTTCGGTCGAGAGTCGTTTGAGTGTCTAGTGAAAGGCTCTCGAAGAGTTGAGGCTGTTGAGTCTAGTGTAGAGGGGAAACAACGACTTGTTAGGTGCAGGTGGTATCACAACAGCACGTCCGTTCTCTAAGAGTTTTTTCTTGGCCGTATCTTGCCCTGCCTGGGAGCAGCACGTGAGACAGACACAAGGTCAGTCCAGAGCCTCGTTCCCTCGGTGAACATGTTGGCATCTCGCGCCCTGACAATCAAGCGAAAGGGCGTCCACTCCACAACAGACCCCAATAGAGCAGGCGTGTGGTTGCTGAACAAACAGCCAGTGTCGGGGAGCCTGAGGCTGCTGAACACGAAGCCGGAAATTTCACACGGTACCAAACCTATATCCATCTACCGGACGCTCTCTCTGGGTCAGCACCAAACAACAGTCTCTCCTTTAAGACGGCAACGCTGGCTAGTACTCAGGATTCTCCTGTTAGCCTCACGCATTTCGTTTCTCGCTTCGCTTTGAAACCCAGAATAGCGTGGAGACACCTCCATGCTCCTCGTGTTCCGGTGTTTTGGGGCTTCTTCATTCTAGTCGAAGTGCTACCGTAAGTCTGCCAGAAGAAACAACGCCATCATCTGTGTCAACAGGGCGCCCCAACCACAAGAACTCGAAACGTCAACTTGCGAAGCCCTGCTTCGACCAACTTATGGGAATTCCATCAATCGCATCTTTGTGAAGATGTTCTCTGCTGCCGGCCTGTTCAAAAACATTCGGTGTCCTGAAGGCGCACTATGTCGAGTTCCGAACTGTATCTTCTCCCATCAGTTTTCTGGCAACGATGGACCCACACAGCAAGCCTTGTCTGTTCGCAGCGGTGCTGCAGTATCAAGCAGCAGCAGCACACCCGCCGGCCATGATGCGAAGAGACGGAAGCTAGATGGAACAGACCAGCAAATCCCAACTGCCAACAGTCGTTTGAAAGACGATGTTTCTAAAAAGCCGTTCGTTGGCATAATAGCAACGAAAGAGCCAACGCGGCCACTTGCGACTGCAGATACTGCCAAAGGGGCCACAAGTACTGTCAAAACTCCCTCCCAGATCCTGAAGACTGCTACAAGAACGGTATCTCCCCCGCCGAGAAGCGAGAAGGTGAAGGTGGCGCCAGCTACTCAGAAGCAAGCAGTCCAGAATAACCATGTCGAAACGCTAAACCCGCGCCTGGTGAAGATCGATCCGGCGGGACATGGACTCCGAAGATTGTATCTCAGCAAAATGCACGAAGGCATGGTCCGGCTGAACGATGTAGTATCAAAGAGTACAGATCCGGACGTCAAAGTATTGCATCTTTCAAGTGGCGAACTCATCAAGCTTGCGTTGGATGAAGAGGAAGATATTGCCAACGGCAAAACATCTGTCTACGGCAATATCATCAAACTTCGCGTAGTGGCTTATAAGAATATGAAACTTGAAGAGTGGGTAAGGCTACAAAGAGAAGACCTCGCACGCAAGGAAGGCAAGGCCAAAGAGGCCGAGCCACCTCCGCCACTCGACACGGGGCTTTTACCCACTGAAGAACTTCTCATACTCCCCCGACTGGTTGGAAATCAAGAGGGGCTCGATAAACACGGCTACGTGCCATCGCCACCGACACAGGCCGACATAGCCGCCGCCAAGGAGGGTGTCGAAGCAGCCCACGGCTACGAGACATGCGACCGCTGCAGTACTCGCTTCCAAGTCTTCCCGGACAGACGAGAAGACGGCGCTCTCACCTCCGGCGGCACATGCACCTACCATTGGGGCCGCGTATATCGACCGCCGCGTGAAAAAGCTGATGCCATCAGAGGCGTTAGGGAGCCAAAATACACCTGCTGCCAGGAACAGATCGGGACTCCAGGCTGTACAGTGGGCGAGACCCATGTTTTCAAGATCTCGGAGGCAAAGCGGCTGGCCGCAGTGTTACCATTCGAATGGACGCCGGAAAACCCAAGGGCTAGGACGGACAGAGCCGTCGCCTTCGACTGTGAGATGGGCTATACAGTCTACGGTCTCGAGCTGATCCGCCTCACCGCAACGTCCTGGCCGGACCGGGCCCCCCTTATAGACGTTCTGGTCCGGCCGCTTGGTGCTATTTTAGACCTCAATACCCGCTTCTCCGGCGTCCAGCCGGAAGCCTTTTTCAACGCTCCTCCATTTAATCCTGGTGCCGGGGCTTTACCGAGCCGACCACCTTCTACCGCGGAAACAGGAACCGCAGCCTCTCAGCCGACGCTCGCAATAGTTGCCTCACCCGACGTAGCCCGGACGCTGCTCTGCTCCTACATATCACCTTCCACCCCGCTCCTCGGCCACGCGCTGGAGAACGACCTCAACGTCATCCGCCTCTGCCATCCCACAATCATCGACACTGTGCTTCTTTTCCCACACCCACGCGGCCTTCCCGTCCGCTACGGTCTCCGTGCTCTCGTCAAACAACATCTGAACAAGGACATCCAGACTGCAGGGGCTGCCGGCCATGACTCCTTGGAGGATGCACGAGAGGCGGGGGAGTTGGTGCGATGGAGGGTGGCAAGGGAGTGGAAGAGGTTGAAGTCGGAGGGCTGGAGTGTGAAGGGGGGACAGTTCTTTGCGCCGCTTGTGCCGGGTATGGGAGTGAAGCCAGCGACGCTGGAGGAACTGAGGGGGTATGTCTTTGCCCCGCTGGAAAAGAGGGCTAAGCGGAGACGGGGGCAGGTTGATGGGGCGGACGAGGAGAGGGAGTTGAGCGAGGGTCGTTAGGGATGTTTGAATTCCAGCAGTGGGTAAAGTAAGCGCTATCTCTGAACCGCTTGCATTTCCTGGCGCTTGTGTTCAGGTTGAGCATCACTTCGCGCTGACGTGGAATCTACATCCGGAAGTCGAGCTCCCTAGAGAAACTGTATCCGATATTACCACGTTCGGGGTTGACTTCACGCTTGGGCAGTACTACGAGTGATCTTGTTCACGCGGTATCTTGTATAGTCAAGGAAGCATGCCCTCGAGGCTCACTCAAGTCCTTAAGGATCCCTTGCAGCATTGTCTGTATATCCAAAACACGAGGAAATACAAAGCCACCATGCGTGGACGTGAACTCGGAACTTGTGTTTTATCGAGTCAGGCAGCGGAAGAAACCAAACTCGTAATAACAACAATGATGACACAGCTATACCGATGTCAGAATTTCTCGTGTTGCATCCATGTTATATCATTGTACCTGTTGGAGACTGCTCGCAAGGATCACTATAATAAGTCGCGATCGCCTTTTCGGTACTAGAAGGTACTAAGAAACGGCCACGCTTTACTATATTGAGTCTTGTCGGCTGCGGGTTGAGCTGGTTGTATCTAGCATGAGGACCTCTTGGGTAGTCTTCTGACTTCAAAGGGACAACACCGAGGGTATCGTCCTTGCGGCTCTCTCAGCCAAGCTGAGACAATTGGCAGCCAAGATGTCCAAGGGCGGCGCGTTTGTGCTATCATTGATGTGGCGGAGATTGAGCATAGGCAGACGCTTCTTGCTTTCTTGGATTCTGATGGCGAGTAAGACTCGGTTGCTTCGGTTGCCGAACCAGTCGCTCACCAAGACCTCGCTTTCTCGCGGAAATTGCGAGGTGAGTGGTAGAGGTCCTGACGAAGAGGGTTTCAGGAGATTGATGTGGGCATCGATCGCCGTTTCGATGTTTGAAGTTCAGGGGTGCGAACGGGCGGCTGTTCGCTGGTCGCCGCTGGCGGTCCCAAGGGCCTGTTGCCGAGAGCGCGAGCATTGCGTGGCGCACTAGCCCTGATTGCCTTTGATGGGCATGGTGGCTTGCGCTTTCCGCCTCCTTTCCCGTCCTCAACCAGCCCGCAACCCTCCCCATTTCAAGATCCAAACACTTTCGCTTTGTTTTCCTCCACCATTTCTGGAGCACCCGTCGTTGCCTCAATCGTTTCTACTATATACTAATCGCTACTTCTCTGACAGTCTCTCACTCTTTCGAGACTTCAAATCCCCTCTTGGCTACGTTCTGCCACGTTCCACACCCCTCGCACCCGCTTAGTCTACCCATAACACCCTTCTGCACATTCTGATCAGGCCGCGTCATCCGACCTGCAATCACAATGAAAGCCGTCGCTGCATTCGTCGCCGTCTCTGCGGCTCTGTCCGCTTCTGCGTCAGCAACTCCAGCAAAGAGGCAGTCTTCCAAGACCCCTGCTGTTGAGGTCCGAGGCAATGGTTCGTTGTGGTGAACAAACGTCAAATGGGCAACGCTGACAGGCGGAACAGCGTTCTTTGCCGGCGGAAAGCGCTTCTATATTCGAGGAGTTGATTACCAGCCAGGTTAGACTTCCCAGTTCATATCGAAGGCCCGTTTTCTGACAGGCTTTTCCAGGAGCTGCTTCGGCTCAGGAGGACCCGCTCGCCAACCCCGAGACATGCAAGCGCGACATTGCGAAATTCACGGACTTGGGCATCAACACCATCCGCGTATACACCGTTGACAACACCAAGAACCACGATGAGTGCATGAGAGCATTGGCTGACGCGGGCATCTACCTGGCACTGGACGTCAACTCTCCGAACTACTCCATCAACCGCGCGGACCCCCACCCCTCGTACAACGATGTCTACCTGCAAAGTGTTTTCGCCACTGTCGATGCTTTTGCGAACTACGAGAACCTTCTTCTTCTCTACTCGGCCAACGAAGTTATCAACGACGAGAAGACACCTGTGTGTGCTCCTTACGTCAAGGCTGTCACTCGTGATATCAGACAATACATCCGCAACCGCGGCTACCGCAGTATCCCTGTTGGTTACTCCGCTGCTGATGTTGACGCCAACCGCTATGAGATGGCCACTTACATGAACTGCGGCACCGACGACGAGCGAAGCGACTTCTTCGCTTTCAACGACTACTCCTGGTGCAATCCATCCTCTTACACAACCTCTGGCTGGAGCAAGAAGGTTGAGCAATACGGCAACTACAGCATCCCTCTTTTGTGAGTCACCTCGATAGAGACTTGTCAGCAAACCCGAACTAACAGCTTTTAGCCTCTCCGAATACGGATGTATCAAAACCGATCGCACCTGGGACGAGGTCAATGCCCTTTACAGTGACGACATGACTCCTGTTTACTCCGGCGGTCTGGTTTACGAGTACACCGAGGAGGAGGCTGGCTACGGCATTGTCCAGGTCAACTCCGATGGCACTGTCGAGGAGCTTGACGACTACCAGCCTCTCAAGGAGAAGTTCGCTGAAGTGCCGGTTCCCTCCGGTGACGGCGGGTACAAGCCGAACGGTGGCGCCTCCGAATGCCCTGCTGCATCCGCCAACTGGGACATCTCACCATACACGGATAACAGACTCCCTGCTATCCCCGAGGGTGCCAAGAAGTACATGACTAATGGCGCTGGTACCGGTCCTGGTCTCCAGGGAGGTTCCCAGAACGCTGGCACACCAAGCGAAAGCACTGCGACGGCTGGTTCTGGTCAGGCCACTACCACCGCGAGCACGGGCGCCGGTGCATCTCTCCGCGTGCCAGATTTCAATGCCGCGCCGCTTGTTTGCGGGCTGGTTGCGCTCGTGTCCGCTGCTTTCGGTGCTTCTCTCTTGTAGCTGTCTGAATACTCTCTTTTCCTGCAAACTAGTACATATCGCATAATCAAGTACACTGTAAGCTGCTAGGGCTGGAGAATTGTAGCATTTTGCTGGGTGTGGGGTTATGTTTGTCTTTTCTTTTGTGGAGATGCATCTTGGGGTTTGCTATTTTTACATGGGGTTGGAGTTCGCCTAGATCCAAAACATATCACATAGAAACATCAAACCTTTTCACTTAGTCTGCTTGGTGTGATATGAGTGCGCTTGCCTCTCCCATTACACCAACGCTGGCCGCCTCCAGTCGAAGTGGAGCAACTTGATTCACCTGCGGTCTACAATAACACCTTGTTCATGGCCATCAACCCCATAGTCAACCAAACACTTCATGAAGATCGTACAACAGCTTTGTAAGCCGTTTAGGATGCTGTGTCCAATGTCTGCTTGTGTACAGCTGCTGCTGGGCTGATTTACGCCTTCTTGGCATAAGCCTCGACCTCAATCTCAATAAGCATATCCGGCAGCGCCAGCCTCGTTACACCTATACACGTCCAGATAGGTCGATGGTCAGGAATCCGCTTCTTAGACCTATCGACGACAAGCTGAAACGAAGCGTCCATATCGACATGGTAGGATCTAACAGAATACACATCCTCCCAGCCGCGCAGGCCCGCTGCCTGGAGCACGCGGTCGACATTCTGGAATGCGAGATCGACCTGGCCCTCGATGTCGTTGGCGTCGAGCGCCCCGGTGGTGTCCCAACCACCTTGCCCGGCGCATTTGACGATGTCGCCGAGGATGACGACTTGCGAATAGTGGAATTGGTCGCTGTTCTGTTGGCCGGCGCCTTCCTCGTTTAGGTATTTGAGGGTGGACATGTTGGTAGTTCCGCAGTTTGTCTTTTGGAGATTTAGCAAGAGGTGATGTTCCCCAAGGTTAGAGGGCACACACGGTAATCTACCTGGATGGTGTTCGAGGAATGGTGGTTGTGCTGCGATGGGGTGGAAATTCTCTCTTCAGGCCTCCGTATTGTCTTTATGTCACGATCAAGGGCTAGGGCAGATGGAACTTGATGAACTGGCTATCATGCAAGACGAGGCACGAGGAATGAAAGGCCCAAGAGCCATACTCGAGTACACCTTTCATCGGCGGGGAGGGCGGGGAGAGCGGGGAGAGTGCATACTCCAAGGCGAGCTAAAATGAACACGGCGGGTTTTGGCCCTGGACGGCTAGTTCCGTTCTTCTGCAGAACTGGCTGAGACAGGCTCATGTCAGAACCCGCCGCGTTCATTTCAGGTCGCCCTTGCTTGTCGTTCATCGGAAGTCCGCCTTATCGATAGCGCAGAGTCGCGAGTCCGAAGTCACAGCAGTTGTCGATATTCTGATAGCTGTCCACAGTACTCACCCAGCCTGACGGTCGAACAAGCAATTATCCCGTACAGCACTACATGCATAGTCCGCTATAATCATGCCGCGCGACCCCCTCATCGGCCTCGTGGGCAAGCCCTCCTCAGGCAAATCCACAACCCTAAACAGGTGCGCCGTCCCAATCTCACCTCTGCCCAGAACGACCGGCTAAGGCAGATCTCCCGCGGCACAGCTTGACGGACGCATCGAGCAAAGTAGGTGTGTAGCTTCCGCTTTCCCGCCATATTCCAAAACCCCCCCCAGGAACACAGCGCTGACGCCCTGTGGATGCAGGAAACTTCCCGTAAGCCTCACCACCCCCGAAACCAGACCAACCTCCACCCCCTCGCCCTCCATCCAGTCAGGAAACCCTCTCTGACACCTCCCTTCAACCCCCCAGTTTCACAACAATAGACCCCCAGCGCGCAATCGGCTACCTCCAGATCCCATGCGCCTGCTCCCGGCCCTCCCTCTTGGCTACTCACCCCGACCTCCCCTCCCGCTGCAAACCGAACTACGGCTCCTGCGTCGATGGGAGGCGGAGCGTGCCGATCGAGCTGCTGGATGTGGCGGGCTTGGTGCCGGGAGCGCACGAGGGGAAGGGGCTCGGGAATAAGTTTCTCGACGATTTGAGGCATGCGGATGCGCTTGTGCATGTGGTCGATGTGAGTGGGTGTACGGATGCGGAGGGTGAGTTGTGTTTTCCTTGGTGCGAGGTGGAGGGTTGCTTCGGCGATCGGCAGCAGGGACGGGCTATATGATTTGGGGGGAAGAGCGGGATACGAGGACCGAGGGGGCACTTGAGAGGACGGCATTCGGGACGTGGCGCACCATTGGAAAGGGGGCAACGAAAGGAGAAGCAAGAGCTGCGCTAACGTCTGGAGCCCTCAGGCAAAGCAACGCGGGGTTACGACCCGTCACAAGATATCGCGTGGCTACGGTCTGAAGTTGTCCACTGGATACTGGGCAATCTGATGGAGAAGTGGTAGGTACGCTCTGCGTGCATCACTCTGTCTTCAGGACCTGTCTGACCAACGCCACAAAGGGGCGGCATCAAGCGCCGACACATAGCTGTAAGTGAGTCTCCTCACCCCTCTTCCCCTCCCTTTCACAGGACCTCACCAACACCCACCACAGAAGCCACAGCAGTCGAAACCCTGCAGAATCAGTTCTCCGGCTACGGCTCCACCCCACCCGTCATCGCCCGCTGCCTCGACCGGCTAGCCCTCAAAGAGCCCCTCCAGAACTGGTCCGACGCGACGATCGAGCGTGTTGTAAACGCGTTCATCGACGAGAAGTTCCCCACCGTTATCGCTCTGAACAAGATCGACCACCCCGACGCAGACAAGAACATTGCCAAGATCGCCAAGGTGCACGATGCGAAGACGTTGGTGCTGACGAGCGCCATCAGCGAGGTGTTTCTGCGGAAGCTCGCGAAACAGGGTTTTATTCGCTATGTTGAGGGCTCCGAGTTCGTGGACACGAGGGAGGATCTCATCGAAGCCGGGGATCCGGACGGTGGGGGATTGAAGGAGATGGATGAGAAGCTGAAGACGAGGATTGAGAATTTGAGGGATATGGTGCTGTATCGCTTTGGGAGCACCGGGGTGGTGCAGGTACTCTCGCGTGCTGCTGAGCTGCTGGGACTGGTCCCCGTCTTTCCGGTTCGCAATATCCATAACTTCTCCTCTGGATCGGCGGGGAGTGCGGTATTCAGAGACTGCGTGCTGGTCAAGAGGGGCTCGACGGTGGGTGACGTGTTTAGAAAAGTCATGGGGGATGCACCGCTGGCGTACGCGGAGACTGTAGGAGGTGTAAGAGTGAGTGAGGATGATAGTGTCGCGGTCGGGAAGAATGACGTAAGACTACTGGTGCGCAGGACGAGACTCAAGACCGGCGGGCTGACTTTTCTGGCAGATCTTATCGTTCAAGGTTGGGAGGGCATGACTCGGCTCGTCTGATAGGAGCAGGCGTAATGTCACCAGCGGGATGATCGCAGATATCGAAGAAATCCCAAGCGGTTTATATGCGTTCACCGCTGCGCTTTCGCTACATTGGCCACGTTCGCCGCGTTCTCACCCATGCTCTTCCTCTCCACAAGCCTAACCCATCTTCTCCGCCTCCACTGGCCCCTCCTACCAGTCCCGTCTCCCTCCTCCCACGTCTTGATGACCTCCTTCCCTTTCCCCTTCCCTTCCATCCTCTTACGTCCAGTCTCCCCTTCCACTATCGGCGTATCTTCATCATAGTCGATATCATAGACCCATCTCTCACCTTCCATTTCCACCTCAACACCAGTAATGCACCTCTCCTCCACCCATTCCCGGCTCCCAAGATCAAGCGTCCACTTCTTGTCGCTCCAGCGCCAGCCCCGCGGCGCGGCGACGTCTTCGAAGAAGCGAGTCCCTTTGGGCTTGTCGCCTGCGATCCTAGCCGGGGAGAGAAGAACATAAGGCGAGGGCCCAAAGACAAAGGGTTCGTACTCGGCGGCCGGATAGCGGTAAGGACGGTACTGCAGCTCAAAGGTCTCGACTTCGCGGACCTCAGGGCTGCCGGACAAGTCGATGTCTTTGCTCGACCAACCGAGGAGCCAGGACTTTGCTTCCGCCTCGTGGTTCTCGAAGCGGGCCTCGGCGTCTGTGGAGTGCAGGAGGTCGACCAAGTAGGGATGGTTGGCGCATGTGAATGCCCAGCCGCTGACTAGGGCGATGGCGCGCCAGGGCAGCAGGTGTGCGGCAATGAACATTACGCAGGAGAGAACGAAGAGGATGAGGAAGATGGTCGAAGACAGCGCCTCGTTGGAGAAATTCGTCGGTGGAGCGAGTACCGTGATGGTTTGGTCGTGCAGGCGCGAGAAATCGTCCATGCTGTTCTGCAGGTCGCGCATGTTGCGGAAGAAGTCTTTGGAGAGGTCGGCCGCGGGCTTTATGCTTTGCGGGGGCGCTAGGGGTGGGCCTTGCAAGGGGTAGAGCTCTGTGGAAGTGTGAGAGGGGGGCGGTGGATGGCGGGCTAGAAAGGCGGGGACCATGACGAAGAAGAGGCAGAAGGCGAGAGGGGCAACTGCCAGAAGGCTTGGGTCAAGGCAGATGAAGCTGTATATGGCGAGGAAGGAGAGCGTGTGGGTGGGGACGCGCCAGGTGAAGAGGCGGATGAGGCGGTTCTGGAAGATGAAAGCCACGCCGATTCTATATACACGTTCTTAACAGCTAGGTACAACAGCAGGGTAATCGGATAGCATACCTCGCGTTAAAGCGCCGAAAGTTGTTCGACATTGTCGGTAGACTAAAGCCGGGACGTTCGACATACTTCCTCGATCTTCTGTCCTTGGGTTCGTCCTGTTCGTCGCCTTCTTGCGACGGGATAACCTGTTGTAGAAGCCTTGTCTTGTTAGTCGAGGAACCTTGCAAGTACCCTGGCCGAGCTTCGAAAGCAGCCGTACATTGTGAACACGCGGTCTTGCAAGCTACTCGATTCAGCTTTCTGACCTTCGAGACCTTCCAGCTTCTCTTTCAACTTTGACGAAGACAGCGACTGCTTGAGTGCATCTCGCTTGCCCTGTCTCCGCTCGCTGCTCGCTGGCGAGGGTGTATCGCCTTGAGGGCCTGTGACGGAGACGGTGGGGATAGGGCTATCCCGGTTTGCGAGGGTTCCATAGTTGGTGTCGTCCATCGCGGCGGCCTCCTCGGTCAAGTTTCCAAGCGAAGCGAAGGCCAGACGGAAGATGGCAATGATGCATCCGGTGCTCTTCGACTGTTCTAATGCAGATATGGCTGCTTGGGACGACAGCGAGGAATGCGCCGGAGCCGTCAGAGAAGGACCATCTAAGTGAGACGCGTACAGCCAGTACCTCGATGCATATAATTCATGCGACCCTGAGAGGAACAGGACTACAATTCTTGCGGCTGGGCAGCTACGGTAATGTAATGTACCGGCAGAGTGCAGCATCAGGTAAAGCGTGGTGTTGCAGCATGTGACTGTGGAGGCTTGTGGCTGTGGCTGTGGCTGTGGCTTTGACCCTTGTCGAGTGGCATCCGAGTCTAGCCGCTTTGGCACAAGGCGAGGAACAGAAATGCCAGTCGCCGGGGCGCTGATCGGAAAGGAGACGGCACCATCAAAAGAGGCTGAAAGCTTGGCCACAGGGCACCGCAACTGGCAGCCTCAAGTTACCAACTCAATGCTAGTGACCCTGAGACGAACCGTCGTGCAGCACACCCAACGTCCACTTAGCTAACTTCTAACTTCTAACTTCTAACACGTCCTCTGCTGCTCGCTACTCCCCGGCTCCAAACGCTCACTGTCGCTCTCGACTATCGCCAATTGCCCGACAGGTAAACACCCCTCCAACTCGTTGCCCCGGCTAGCCAAGCACGGCCCCCAACTGTGTTCCCAGACAGCTTTCAGGCCTCTGAGCTCACAGAGACTCTCGCAGTCAATCGAATCACGGTAGACTCTGAAAGTCGGATTTGCGGCAGCACCCAGCTTCCAGCAGTCCTCGTATCCGCCCTCACGACCTTTCGGCGTTGCTGTCTCATCCCTGGAGATGCCCAAGAATCGCTTTTGCCCTTGACTCCGGGCTGCGGAGTCTGAACATCGGAACCGGAGAGCTCTGGACTGGATGTCGACGGGCGGGTGAGACAATAGACAACTCTATACGGTCCACAGTGGCCTGGAAATCTCAACGACCGCTCCCTTCAGACACGTCCAACCACAAGAATGGCGACTCAAGCAGCCGCAATAGCCCACGGGCGGACCCTCAACCCTTCACTGTCCTTACCGAGAGGTGACTTGACTGAAGATTCGGGCGGTTCGGGAGGTATGCGATCGATCTCCCTTTCGGGTACCCGCAGCACATGCAGTCGTAGACAGATGCTGAGGTGATACTGTAGCGGAAGGCCGAGCGCGGAAGAAGTTCCAAAAAGTCAATGCCAGCGAGAACGACCACCCTTTGTCTTTGCGAAAGTCCGGTATTTCGGCGCCCAATAGGATACCAAGTGACTACAACGCAAGCCTCGTAGGGCGTCGGCGGCTGTCCACAAACAGAGATCAGAAAGCGGCACCGCTTGGTCCAAGACCGTTAGACCGCTCCCCATCGAAGAGGTAAGCGCAGTTCGAAGGATGCGTGGTCATAGCAGGTGTGGCCGCACCAGATTTGGAAGAGCAAGCCCTGCAACAAGGTCTTGATACTGTTCAAACGAGGCAGGGGCAATACTCGTGGCTCACGGAAGGCTCTCCTTGTACTGAGAAGCTACGTGTGCAGACGTCCCCATATCTGTGCAGTTGCCCTGGCATCTGAGACAACGGTGATAGAATGTTGTGCTGGCTGCGACGGCCTTTTTGGATACTGAAAGCTCCAACGCAGTATCTGCAAAGAACTCCCCGTGCGTTTTGAGTAGTGAATCAGTACTTATGCTAACAACTCTTTTCGACCAACAGCATCCACAACACTGCGAACGCTACCTCTAATAATGCAACGACCCGCTCCTTCCTTCCTACATCAACAAATGAACCCCTCTTCGGCCAACCTGGGAAAGCTTCCAACCCCCGCTTCAGCTTCGGACAGTCGCAAGCTTCGTCGAGCAACCGGACGGAGAGCGGCTGTTTCGACTTCCTTCCCAAGGTCAACTTCGACGATTTTCACGCTCGTGTCACCTCGAATGAGACGACACTGAGCGAGTCTGCGCGTGGCGGAGATATCGACGGCGAATCGACAGTACCTCCAGCGAGGATCTCAGTGGATAATGGGACGCTGCGGGATATAGCCGATGCTCCTATCACACGAACCGCGTCGCTCATTCGTCGCCTTAGCAACGGACGGCGCAAGGCGAGCCAGAGCTCTGCAGACTCCGCCACCATGCCGCCACCCGGCGTGCTGTCTGTACGTACCCGTCGTCAGAGTCAGTTTCCTGCTTCTGCCCCGGGGAACCCTGCAGCACGGCCACCGCGGAAGTCTGTCGGACCCGGTCTCATTACAACATCCTTTGAAGCAAAGGGTGGGCAAACTGAAGCGACAAACACTACAACCGGAGCTGTACCGCCCAGCCTTGGTATCAATGGGTCCCTAGGCAAAGCGAGCCGACGCGGCATTCTTGGACCCAGTGTTAGTGTGGAAGAGGTACCCCGTATTTCGACCACTGCACGGAACCTCAAGACAAAATCGCTGCAGCCTACCGTGAAGTCCGGCCAGGAACATCTATTGCCGCCTTCGAGGACGCCAGACCACAGCACCGGATCGTCTATACACAACACACGCTCTCCTGGTCGATCGCCTGGTCAACGGATCCAGACTCCGTCGTCCTCGGGAGGAAAGAGGCAGTCAACCGCTCATACTCACCATGTCGGTGGGCTAGGTGCACGCACCATCAGTCCTACTGATGCCAGACGACTAAGGCGCCTCTCCACTATGCAGAATCCGCCACCTATGCCTCAAACACCGTCTGCATCGATGCCTGATCTACCCCTGCCTGATGCTTTGTCAGACGCCAGAGCTGCCACTCGTTCTCCCGCCATGCTCTTTCGTAAAAGTATAACACCATCATCCGCTCGCGATACACCTGAAACCAATCGCAAATCTCTGCATTCCGGACTGTCGTTATCATCAAGCTCGAGCTTCAACTCTCTCCGTGCATCGAACACTACCCTACAGCCAAGAGCGAGCCATCTCCTCTCCACATCACGGTTGCCTACGCCGAAACCTAGGAGTGTGCACAGCGCCGCAGGTGGCCATGAAGAGGAAGAAGTGCCGCCGGTGCCCGCTATCCCGAAAGCTTATGAGTCTCCCAAAGACCAGGTTGATGAGCCATTCTTCAGCAACCAGAAGCCACTGCCGGGTCCGATAACGGACGACCCTTGGAGTTTCTCTATGGTCGAGCCAGAGACTGCTCCCAGGCCTACTGCCTTCGACACTTTCAGGTCCGAAAGAGTGTTCTCGGAGCAACATGTCGACAAAAGCAGCGTGCGACACAAGAGGGGTCTCACTGTCGGTACAGGTGCTGAGGCTGACAAGCCGGCTACCTATCATCCCGTCAACAAGAAGAGTTTGCAGCCTTCGAGACTGCCGCCCCTAAACCTCCCTCCACTGGGTACGCCAACTGCGGCGAGGATTGCGTCCTTTCCCGCACCCTCCCAGGAGGTTGACCGCCGGCAAGCCACGCCACCTCCGAAGCGCAGCTACACGAAGACTCCAGGCACGCCGATGACAGCTTCAAAGGCTACCTTTTTCTCCAAGCACCGTCTCGAAGACGAGGATTTTGCGGTCAAATCTCACTTTCGAAGCAGTTCGTCTCGTTACAACCTCAGACCCACTACTGGAGACTTCTTCAACTCCATGACATCCACCAGCATGCCGCTATCGAAAGTGAGCGACAGCCAGCGCCAAGTCGCTACTCCGTTCGCATCCGCTTCTTTACCGAAAGAGGATGATGATCTCGACCAGTTGAGATCCCGGCCTAGTGGCGAGTCTAAGCATACCGAACCCTCCGCTGAATACAATGACTTTGGTCTTACTGGCACTTTCTCGCACGTACCTGCAAAGAAAGACCCTCCCTCCGCACACACCTCGACATCGACTGAGTACGAGACCGCCAGTTCAGGAGCTTCGTCCCTACGTCGCAAACTGAGTATGAGCTGGAAGAGAAGTTCCTCAAAGGCGTCCCACCTTCAGCCGCAGCAGGCGGCTAAAGATGAGATGGCGCCACTGCCGCCGAAACACAACGACATGCCTCCGCCTAAGTTGCCTGCCTCTGCCACATGGAGCGGTCCAATCCCTTCGAGCCCTGCCTCTTCTGCTCATCCCCGCCCGTCGCTCGAGTCAGGACGAAGGAAGAGCTCTGCTACTACACTCCTTAACAATGTCGATCAAGAGCGTACAAACGGCCTCAAGATCAACGGCGTACCCGGCACGCAATCATCTAATCACACGGAACACCCTCCGTCCGCCTCTCGATCTACATCCTCCTCAGTCCTGGCTCCCATGCACCGCATGCTCGGCACGAAGCCCTCCTCCCATCCGCTCAAACAGCGCCACGGCGAGCCGCTTCCCGACCGCGACGATCTTGCAGCAGACGAAGAGATGAAGAAGCTCGCCTCTAGACGCAAAGACCATGAGATCGCGGCCCGTGAGTTGGACGAGCTGAAGCGGCGTGCGAAACCAATGCAGCGTGTATCTCCGTCCCAGGCCCTGGACATGGTGAACCTGAACATCTTCGAAAGGGGCGAGATCATCGACTACAAGGAGATCTACTTCTGCGGTACCAAGACCGCGAAGAAGCATGTGGGCGATTTGTCGCAGCAGGCGCAGAACTTTGGGTATGATGATGAGAGGGGCGACTACAACATCTGTCTCGGAGATCATATTGCGTACAGGTACGAGGTAGTGGATTTGCTGGGAAAGGGTAGTTTCGGACAAGTGGTTCGGTGTGTCGATCACAAGACTGGCGGACTGGTGGCGATCAAGATCATCAGAAATAAGAAGCGGTTCCATCAGCAGGCTCTGGTGGAGGTAAACATCCTGCAGAAGCTGAAGGATTGGGTAAGCATCCGTCGACGATCCAACACTCGAGATGAGCCAGGCATGGAGATGCTAACACCCGCATAGGACCCCGAATCTAAACATTCGATGATTTCCTTCACCCAGTCTTTCTACTTCCGCGGCCACCTCTGCATCTCTACCGAGCTCCTCGGCATAAACCTCTACGAGTTCATCAAAGCCCACGATTTCAGAGGCTTCAGCCTTCGCCTCATCCGCCGCTTCACCCGCCAGCTCCTCTCCTCTCTGGTCCTCCTCCAGTCCAAGCGCGTCATCCACTGTGACCTAAAACCCGAGAACATCCTCCTCGCCCACCCACTCAAAGCCGACATCAAAGTGATCGACTTCGGCAGCAGCTGTTTCGTCGACGAGAAAGTCTACACCTACATCCAATCGCGCTTCTACCGGTCCCCGGAAGTTATCTTGGGCTGCTCGTATGGATTGGGTATTGACATGTGGAGCCTCGGCTGCATTCTGGCGGAGCTGCTGACGGGCTACCCCGTTTTTCCCGGCGAGAACGAGCAGGAGCAGCTCGCGTGCATCATGGAGATCTTTGGGCCGCCGGAGAAACACCTTATCGAGAAGAGCTCAAGGAAGAAGCTGTTTTTTGATAGCATGGGCAAGCCGAGGATCACGGTCAGTAGCAAGGGACGCAGACGGAGACCGAGCTCCAAGACGCTGGCGCAGGCGCTCAAGTGCGAGGACGAGGCGTTTGTGGATTTTGTGGCGAGGTGCTTGAGGTGGGATCCTGAGAGGAGGATGAGGCCGGATGAGGCGGTGTTGCATGAGTTTGTGACGGGTGTTAAGCGGCCGCCCGTGAGGGACAGACTTACCAGCAGGACGGCGACGGGCACGCACCTCAATGGCGCTGGGACGGCTGATGGGAGGCCAAGCCCGATGAAGAGGTTTAATACCACCCAAGCGACCCCTGGGACACAGAGAGTCAGGCCTCTGCCTGAGGCGCCGGTCACGTCGCTCAGGAACCTGGGCCCGACGGAGCGGAGGGACGTCTCGAGCACGAATGCCAGTCCGGTCAAGGGAAATGTCAAGAGGAGGGAGACGGTTCACGGGAATGCGGCGCTAATCCAGCCGACTGTGGGCGTGAAACGGACGAGTGGTGGCAATCCGGTTGCTGCTGGAGGGGCTAATGGAGTAGCGAACGGAGTCGGAGGGGCAGGGAGTGGGACGAGCGGGTTACCGAGAGCTACGGCGGCGGGGAGGAGTTTTAGCGCTAGGCAGCCGGTGGACATGGCGAGTGCGGCTGCTGTTGTGGCTAGTGCTAGCCAGAGGAGGATTGGGCAGGTTGATGCAAGGTACTGACGGAGCAGCTAAGAGAAGGCATGGACTGGCGTTGGGAGTTTATCAAAGCATATTCGGTAGGCATTTTACATTCTTGGGAGGTTGGGTCTGTTGTGCATGACCTAGGAGCGGTCTGAAGTGGCGCTATTCAGCATTCATGGGCAGAAGAGATATCCTTGGGTCTGTTGCTGGTGCTTGCTGCAGGAGCGCTGCATGTATCGTCGTGGGTGGCTATTGTTTGCTTCTGCTTCCACATCAAGGCTCTTCTACTAGGCGTATTTTACTTCGTTGTGGAGCCGTCTCATCGACGGACCGTGCCGTTAGTGGCACCGGAAGGGTTTGAAGATTGTTATGCATAAGGTCAACACCTGGTACTGTTTTATGTGCAGCTTCTGGAACAGTGGTACACGGACAACGTCGCAGTTCGGCGCAACAGGCTGACCGAGCGCCCCCCCATATGTCTCGATCTAAACCTTCCACATCTTTACCTCTTGAGATGTTCGGCGCTTACGGTCTCGTCATGCCCCTATCCCACGACTCATGAACACACAGCAATCAACACTCTCATCCGTATGAATTGGTGTCGATTGGGTCGTTCCAACTTCTCGAACCTGTATGGTCCTGCGCTTCGCATCACCGTCACAGACATGGATGAAACGCCTGCTGGCGGAGATTAACCCATCATGCTCGCTCTCGCGACCACGTTTCTGCCCTCTTTAGATGTCCTCCACGACTCGTCACATCACCGCCCAATGGAAGCTGGACAGAATTCAGCCCTGTTCTGTAGCTTCATCCTTCGATGCATCAACCTCACCTGTCACTCAAGTCACTGTCACGCCGTCGGCTAACGGGCCGAAACCATTCGTATGGAACTGGAGAGCGTCAGCCACCGTCACATCACCTCGAGTTCACCCCGCCATAATCAACAACCATCCCCTCAAGCAGGCTCTCATTCCGAACGACCGCACTCCGAGTACTTAATCGGCCTTCCTTTCGCTCTCCGCAGACGTCCAGCACGTCTTCTACATCTGCTTACTGTACCTTACTCAGCAAGCTATATTTATTCCGCCAATGGTTCGGGCCGCTTAGATATCTCCGCCCGAATCCCGAGACATGGATGTGGGCGCAGACAAGATGGTTCCGTCAACCGTCGGCACCCCAGATGTCAACCCGCACCTAAGTCCCGTCCACCACCACCGAGGCCATGTCTCCCATAACTCCGCCCATGGTTCTTCATCTGCTTCCGCCTCCGATCTCGAGAGGCCTCATAACGCGCTGAGAGGCCAATGTTGCGACCGCATTGACACGCCAATTCCCCCTGGTCTCAGCAATGTGTTAGAAGCTCCCAACGTCAGCGATCTTGCGGAGCCGTCCAACAGGGCCGCGGATAACATCATCGAATCTGCTATCAACGGTACTTTCAGTGCTATCACGGCCTCGGAGCCCGAACAACACTCTCCTCCACTCCCTCAGTCGCCTTTCCCGCCTCGCGCCCAGAAATCCCTCTACGACCGTCGCCATCGCAACAACGCCCACTCAATCGACTCCCTGCCCCGCCAGACCATCATGAAGGCCCTGGCGTCTCGCGCACCGCCCTCGAACCTCTCCATAGCTTCTTCAATCAACGAACTGCTGGCCAGTAGAGACGAGAACGAAGCTCGGGAGGAGCCCATCACATCCAAGCGCCTCTCCGCCGCCCTCGCCGGTCTCTCCCTCAGCTCAACCTCGCTCTCCGCCAGCAAGATGGCCGCGCTAGCCTCGCCCTGCTTCTTCCACAAGAAGTTCGACAAGGCCGTAAACATTGACAAGGTCCTCGAGGAGATACAGGACTCATCGTGCGAGGGCATGTCGCATAGCCGGTTGATGCAGACGGCAACCGGCGTGCGCGAAGTTTCGCGCCAGCTCCAGCGCAGGCCTATCAAGATCACAGTCCGCAATGTCATGATCGTGACGAAAGCGCGAGACAACCACCTTGTACAGTTGACGCGCGAGCTGACGGAATGGCTCCTCACGACGCCGCGCTACGGCTCAGACGCCGGTGTGAACGTTTACGTCGACGCCAAGCTCCGCAAGTCCAAGCGCTTTGATATGGAGGGGCTTCTGGCCAAGGATTCCCGATTCGAGCACATGCTGCGCTTCTGGACGCCGGATCTCTGCTGGACATCCCCCGAGAAATTCGATCTTGTTCTGACCCTCGGCGGCGACGGCACCGTGCTGTACACATCCTGGCTTTTCCAGCGCATCGTGCCACCAATCCTCTCCTTCAGCCTCGGCAGCCTCGGCTTCCTGACCAACTTCGAGTTCTCACGCTACAAAGAGCAGCTGGACAAAGTGATGTCCTCGGCCGGGATGCGCGTCAACATGCGCATGCGCTTCACCTGCACCGTGTACCGCTCCTCGCCCGGCTTGACGCCGCACTCCCCCCGGCGCCACACCGAAGCCGAGCAGTTCGAGGTGCTCAACGAACTCGTCATCGACCGCGGCCCTAGCCCTTACGTCTCCAGCCTCGAGCTCTACGGCGACGACCACAAACTCACCACCATTGCGGCGGATGGCGTCATCTTCAGCACGCCCACGGGCTCGACGGCCTACTCGCTGTCCGCGGGGGGGTCACTCGTGGCGCCGGACATACCGGCGATTCTGCTCACCCCCATCTGTCCGCACACGCTGTCGTTCCGGCCGATGATCCTGAGCGACAGCATGCTGCTGAAGGTCAAAGTCCCCGAGCGGAGCAGGGCGACGGCTTATTGCGCGTTTGACGGCAAGGCGCGCTTGGAGCTGCGGCATGGCGACGCCGTCACGATATCCGCGAGCTCGTATCCGTTCCCGACTGTGCTGGCGGAGCCGACGGAGTGGTTCGATTCGATTAGCAGGACGCTAAGGTGGAATTCGCGGAGTGCGCGGCAGAAGGGGTGGGGTGAGGGCGAGGGCAGGAGAGCAGAAGAGAGGGAGGAGGGTGTGCATGGTGAAGGAGAAGAGGAAGCAGAAGAAGAGGAAGAGAGCTTCGACATAGACATAGACGATGATGATTACGATAATGCTAGTGCGCACGAGGACGCGAGCAGGGACTCGGGCTACTCGGCGGGGAGCAGTAGTGCGGGAGGCCGGGGAAGTCCGGTTCGGAAGAGGACGATGATCGAGGGCTTCACGTAGGAAGCGGGATGTTGAACTCGAGTTTGGCTTTAGAGCACAGTTCTAGACGAGGATCTAGCTTGCAGGCTGTTGGATGGAAGCCGTGTTGGATCGCCCGCTCGACCGCTACCCGGGGGAAGGGGTCCGATAATGGGTCCATGGACTGTTCCGTGCCACCGGGGGAGGACCTTTGGAGATCAAGGCTGCCACAGGCCTTGAATTATTGCATTCGTTTCTACCTTCAAGGCGGGACTAGAGATATCCATAGATCCACTTTCATCGTTTTGCTCATTTGCCATCTCATATCGGTGCTTTTGCATGCGTTTGTCCATATCACAATCACAGCACCTCTCCATGCATGCTAGAGGTGCCGGATAATGATGAAAGCCTAGTAGAGATGGTGTAGTCCTTCATAGTAAACTGAGTATGGGAACTATAGTGTGACTGTACGGGTATGCAACGATCCTATATACAGATCCTCCAAAGCGAAAACCCTACAATGCCGCGAGGCTTGTCCCGTTTTAACCAAAAGATAAGCCAGTCAGAACTCTTCTTACCCTTCTTTCTAACGCCAGATCGCCTTTCAAAGAATTATGCGCAAGAAGATGACATATCAACTCCTACCAATGACAGATCCCTCCCTCGCTATCGTCCACGCTCCACGTCCCCGCCAACCCCACAATCTCCATCTCGCCACTCGCCCCCTCTCCCACCTTGGTCAGCCTGGCTCCACTACTAGCGTCCGCCGGCCCGTTCGTCAGCAACCTTCTCGCCCATGCATCGATGGCCGGCTCTCCCGTCTCATCCCTAGCCTGCTTCAAGAACGGAATCAGCGCCGTGCCGCCCGTACCTCTGAGGTTCTTAGCCTCCTTCTTGCCGGTAACGGAGGGCCGCGCGATGTTGATCCTCGCTGGAGCAGCCGGCGTTGACGGCGGAGCGGCGCGCGGGGAGAGCGAGCGCGAGTGCGACCGCGATTCGCGAGACTTGACGATGATGTAGCGCGAGACCATCTGGATGTGCTTGTCGCGGAAGGCGCGCAGCATGGCCAGGCAGGCATCGAAGGCGGTCGTGAGTGCGCGGTTCGACTTGTGTGAGGTGACGTAGTCGCGCAGGTTGGCTACGCTGGCGACATGCTCGAGGAAGCGCCGGTGCGGGCCGGGCATGTAGGTGCGCATGTCCTTGATGAAGTTGTGCGAGGGTCCTGGCGGGGCGCTGCCGGGTGCGTTGGGGGTGGTGGCCGGACGCTGCTCGCCGGTGGGGCGGTGCTCTATGCCGAGGACGAGGTCGAAGAACTGGATGATGGAGCTTTGGGCGTTGGAGCCGCCGGCGTAATGGACGTAGTCGGAAGTGCCGGTGCCGTCGTCGAAGACGACGCCATTGGGTAAGCCGGCTTCGGCCATGTTCTTTGAGCCGGCGAGGAATGGTCGGATGCGGTGGTAGAAGACATGCGGATCGCAGTTCTCATACATACGGTGGAGGAGAGCGCCTAGCTCATCGAGCAGCTCGGCGAAGGAGCGGAGACATTCGACCACGGTCCGGCTGTCGTTGCAGCGGGCTGCCCTGATGGCTTCGAGCATTAATGGTATGCTGGGAGCTGCGCGGGCCTCTATGGCTACAGAGACGAGGTAGAACCATGACTCGTCGAGCGATCCCGTGAATGTCGTGAGTGTGGAGAGGTTCTCGAGGTCAATCGACTCGCCATCGAAAAGCGGCTTCCAATTCCAGAGGACAACGCCTGCGTATGTCGCTACTGTCGGCAGCTCTAAATGCGCGCAAGTCTCCAGGAACGGTATCGAGATCGATGGCGGTACACGCTGGCAAGGCTGTCAGCTTCCGTCACAGACTTTGGGGGACAAGCAGTCGCTTACATCAAGTGGCGCATCTCCTCCCCAGATGTATGCGTGCGAGACGAAGGCTAGGATCAAGTATGCTCTACGCCACTCGGCCTCCGTCCGCAGGTAGTCCGTGGACAGCACCGGAAGGCTATCCACTACCCCGCGTAGCCTCTTGCTTAGCACCAAAGCTTGTAGGTTTCTTACGATGTTCTCCCATCGTCCGTAGTATGTGTCGGGAAGAATCTCAAGCGGAAGTTCGGCCGGAAGGAAGCCATTGACCGTGGAAACGTCGTAGTCGCTTGGTTGCGGAATGTCGCGGATCATTGTGTACTTGTGAGGCACGCAACGGCCGAGCAGTCGATGCTGCAGGCTGAATAGCTTTTAAGGACAGACTCGCTCGTCTAGGCTTGGGTCAGCGGGTGTCGTATGCTGGTGGTCTCGGTCTTCAGGTCGCGTGCGCGTGGCTCGGATAGAAGCGGATGTACAGGCTGGTGTTAGGTAAGGATCTACCGAGTATGAATGAATCTATGGAAGGTCGACTGAGAAGAGGCAGCAAGGCGTCTAGAGTGTGTACGAGCTGTCGAATATAGTCTTTTTCTATCGGTGCAAGGTCCGTGGGGGTGTGCGGAAGGATAGTGGTCTGGCGGAAAGGAAGAGCAGGATGTGGCGTAAAGGCTAACAAGTACTAGTATTAAATAATGGATCGTGTGCACTACTACGGATTTAGCGGAAAAGAAGAAGCGAAGATAGAGCTAGACGTATAACGGGTTCGATGGAAAGAGAGTAGCGGCCCAAAGGCCTGTATTAGTGGTTTTGCTGAGAAATAGAGTGAGATGCAGGTGAACCCTGGTGGAAAGGCTGGGCTTCGGAGGGCCGGCTGCCCCTCCAAGTCTGGTTCCTGCAAAATTTCGAGCCCCGCCAACCGACATCGGCCGTGAGGGTCGCTCGAAGGGGATGTTCAGTGTGCACCATCGCCCCAAAGCCTACGATTCATCAGGGCTGGAGCACTCTCAAGCTGCTTGCTTCTCCAACTCCAGCTTCAGTCAACCAGTCCGCAAGGTTGGTCAGCAGGTCAGCCTGTCGCGGGAGTATCCGGAAGGAGAAGGTGCAGCGGAAGCAGACGGCGACCGAAGAGGTCAAGGCTCTCGAGATCCTCAGTCATGGCGCGGCGGGAAAGCCGTTGGCCGCTGAGACCCTGGCGTGCGGGAGGTCATCTTTCGTGGGCGGGAAGTTCTCTAGAACGATCTGTGACGATTCTCCGACGAGATCATGGACGTAATGGCGCCGCGGAAGTGCAATGGAGCTCTCTTATTCGTAGATAGGTGAAAATATGGCGGCTGACCACGGGAGGCGTATCTGCTTAATGGCGGGTTCTTTCCTGAGTACCTCCCTCGAGATGTATTGCTCATTAGCACATTTCGAAGATGGGGTTGAGAATGAGCTGAAGTCAGGACAAGAGTGGCGGCAGATCGTCAATGGCGTCATGTCCTGCACTGTGATTTGCTTGCATGCAGAAACACTGTGTCACCGGGGCCACTTCTTCCTAAGACGGACTTGATAACCTTGAAGGAACAGTATGCAAGAGTTATATCGGCACTGCCAGGAATCACCGAAGAACAGAGACTGCTTTGCAATACGTTTCACAAACAAAGAGCATCAACGTTTCCAAAGCGAATGTAAACTTAGAGCTAAACTTATGCTTTTTATTCAGCAGACTCTTTTTACTCGTACATATCCATCGCCTGCTGTATTCGTCCATGACTACCCCTTGGATACACTCCAGCTACTTCTTGAAGACAGAAGACTCAACCTGAGTTAACCAACAGACTGGCCGTGGCCGTAAATGCACTTCGGATCTGGACAGCCACCCTTCTGGTCCTTGTAGCAACGTCCTTGACGAGCCACAAAACAAAGAGCATCAAACTCTTCGTCACTCAACGCAGCGCGTGCATGGTTGCGGGGACAACCGCTGCACTCGCCACGCAAATAGAGCCAGTTGCACAAATTGGCGCTCTTCAAGTCTCCTACCAGCTTCCAACGCACATCTAACGGTCTGTCGTAGCGTTTGCCGGCTTCATCCAAGAGAATCGGCCCCAGTCTCTGGGCCTGTACTTTCTTGTTCTTGTATCGTGCTGGTGGGCTGGCCGAAGTTGCCCCCTTGCCGACGTCCGACGTGATTGCGAATACGTTACTAAACCGATCGGTGTGCCTGAATCCCAGGTCTCTGATCGAAGGAGGACAAACATCCGCTTCCAGTAAGGATATGCGCTCAGATGTCAGACTGTCGCCAGCAAATCGCCCGAGGAACGGCGCGTAGCCTGCATCGTGGCAGCAACCAAGCAGGATGTGTTTGCACTGCCAATTACCAATGTAGAACTCAAGGTTGTCTGCGAGCCATAAAACCGTTAATTCTGTGAACTGCTGATGTGGTATAGGAGCAGACTTACCGCGGATCTTGTGGTCAGCGCGCTCTTTCCCGGAACCAACATCGACAAAGTCGAAAAAGGGTTGGCGGCATGTAAAACCGGCGACAAATGCACGAAACTCCGCTACGGATTTCATCTTGCCGTCTCTTATGAGGGCGTGGGCCAGGCCCTCCACGTTGGCATACGCCCTAACCACGATGTCGGCGTCGATCAAGCCTCCAAAATTGTGCTGCAGATGTCTCCGCACGCTGACGAGTAACTCGTCCGCTGCCTTCTCGCCGCCAGACTGTCCATGACCGAGAAAGCTGTCTTTGAACTGGCACGAGATGTGAGTGAGACTCGTAGGGCTCGATAACCGTCTGATCACGACGGGACGCTTACCACATATCCATCGGCATCCGCATCAAGAAGTACCACAACATATGGCTTGCGATCCTTCGATTCGGTCAGTCAGAGTACGCGGTGGGAGGTCCGAGGAAGAGGAAGTAGCTGCTACCAGTGAGACCTTAGACTGCTCTCCCAGCCTCTCTAACTCCTGGAGCTTCTGCTGGAGTCGCTGGTGAGCATCACGCTGGGCCCGGATGGCTGATAATGCCTTCCGCAGCTCGTGCTTTGTGCCTTCGAACTCTTGGATCATTTCCTGGATCGGTCTGTAAGTATGAGGTTCCTCCCGGTAGGTTCATGATGCTTACCTCGACTAGGGCCTTTTTTCGCAGCTCGGCCTCATGCCATTCGTTGAGGCGACACTTGTAGCAGCGTGTGTCCTCGACCGTTTTGGTAGCAGCTGTTTGAAGCGGGACACTGTTCTCGCATTGGCATTCCGATTTCGCAGTTACAGGTGCACCATCCTGCACATGAGAGTTGGCGTTCCCCATCAGAGTTCGCGACAAACGAAAGGATCAAGACTCTCTACTTCTTCAGTCGCCTGGCTTTGTCGCCTGCTTTGGAGGATTCTTAAAGGCAAAACCAACAGTTGAGGCTGAGTTACGGAATCGAATGGAAGCGCCGTGCCGCATGGTAAATTCATGCAGCGGCGTAGTCGGGTAAACAAATCAGGTGAAGACATGTAATTTGGATAAGCACTGCCTCGTCCCAAGCGCCTGTCCGCCTTCATGCGGCTACCTACCGATGGGTTATCTGCGAGCCTCTAAAGATTCCATTCCCGTTCTAGCGGGCGAGTGTTGCCGCTCTAAGCTCGCGCGAGCTGAAGCGAATTTTGTGTGAGCTAGGTCAACAGTAACTGCTTCATGTGCCGCACGGAGTTCTGCATTATTCGTTCAGGGTGTTGCATGTACATTTAATAGTAGTCTGAGGCCGAAGAAATGCGTCAAGAGTTACACGTGGTCTTATACCGAAATGGAGTTTGACATTACCTCCATCTCTATATTCCGCTGAAACACTGCGATAACCTGAATGTGCAAAGGAAAACACGCACTACATTGGAAGTATAAGGGTATCCTCTAGTGGAGCACATCACGAGAATCCCTTTAAACGACTTAGCCTGTGGAAGGAGAACAGATCACAAAAAAATTCGTCTACCTCCCTAACAACGGCGACTGTTCGTTCGGGGTCTCCCCCTCACCTGCGGCCTCTTCGTCTCGTGTCGAGTCTTCTACACTCGCCTTGTCATGCTTCCACATATACGCAGCATACGCCACTGTCGGCACGAATAAGATCCTACGCAAACCATCAAATTAGCACAACATAACCTCCACCAACTACTTCTCCACCGCAGTTCATTTTAATCCAAACCAGATAGACTGGGAAAAGACGTACCAAATCAAGACGTGACTAATCGCAGCTCTCACAATCCGCCTATGGCGAGCTTCCGGTCTGTTACGATAATACCGATCCCACGGACCGAACGCGGCATCAAGGATCAGCCAAAGCCATAAGGCAAATGCCAAAACCAATTTGCCAATCTCGAAGGCAAGGGTAAGTGATGCGGAGGTGTGCGGACGGGCGCGGCGTTGGATGAGGACGATGTAGATGATGCCGGCGGCCATGATGGCGGTTGAGGCGTCTTCGCTGGCAAGGGTTGAGTAGTGTTAGCGCACCGTTCCCTACTATGAACCTTTCTTGAGGATCCCGATGTCCATGATGTTTGGTTTACGAGGTAAGTTTAACGTCCAGTCCGTGCGACGAGGAGTGATAGAAGATCTCCAATGAAACGGAATATAAGGCGGGCATACATGAAATCATAGAGGTAGATGTATGGCTCGAAAAGCTGTGCAAATGCCAAAAAACCCAAGATCAAGAGCGTAGGCAGCGCGCAGAGCGCTTGGAAAAGCCAGGCTGTCTGGAGGCAATATCGGCCGAGATCCTGTCGTTCAGACTGTGTAGCCATAGTGGGAGAAAAGGAAGCGAAGTTTTTAGCTAGCTGGAAATTAGACAGAGACAGTTTCTAGGTGTGGAAAGATTGTTAGGAGAATGGTAGGAGTATGCGGAGAAGGCCACAGTTTTGTGGGTATGATAGCCGCTATGCATGTAAGATTATGCGGCACAGCGAATCCTGAAGGATCTTGGCACTGCCACAGTGTCCAGAAATATCCCATAGGTTGGTGAGCTGAGCGCTCAAGAATTGGTGCGTGCTCCGGCGGGTTTCATGCGACGAGATGTGGGATGTGCGAGGCATCATCGTTGGAGCCACGGCTGTGCGAAGCGCTGCTTGCGAGACTGTGCCTGCCTCGCCGCAGGCTACTATCTTGCTGTGCCAGAAGTACAATATGCTGCTCCCTCTAGCCTGCAGCTGGGTTTACGTGTCAAGCGTGTTCGACAGCAGGATGATTGTTATATCTAGCTTCAATGAAGACTTCGATGAAGTGAAGACAGCCTTGAACGCGATGGTCACGTGTTGAGAGCTTCAATTTGCGCTCCGGCCCGTGCGCTAGACCCTGCATGATCATGCTTGTCTGAACCCTGGCAACCGCCCTTGCGTCATCCGTCACATGGGAAAGAGCCAGTGACAGCCCCACCTGTCAACAACCCCTCCATAAAAAGCTTCCACTCTCCCAAATCAACACCACACCCTGCATCGCACTCTCAAACACACGAACACACCTCTCGAAGACTTACAAGCACATAAACTCCCATCAAAGCAACAGTACAGCATCCACCATGTCTGACAAGAACACCTCCACCCTCCAGTCCTTAGTCGACTCTGCCTCAAGCACCGTGCAGTCAGCCATCGGCTCTCTGACCGGCAACACCGGCGACAAAGTACGTTTCCTATCACCTCCAACCGACTCTCAACTCTCCATCTCCCACCTCCCTACCTTCTCTACTTCCACACCCTCCAACTAACCCCCCGCCCAGGCCGCCGCCAACCGCAAACAAGCCGAAGCGGACGCAAAAGACGACCTCTCCCACGCAACCGCCAAAGCCGGTCCCTTCACCGCCACCACCTCCGGCGTCGCAGCCGACAACCAGGACCGCACGAAAGGCTCGTGGGACCAGACAATCGGCTCAGGCAAGGAGACGCTGGGTAACCTGATCGGCAACCAGTCGCTCAAGCAGTCCGGAGCCGAACAGAACCAGGCGGGCAAGGCGCGCGAGGCGCAGGGCCAGCTCAGCGATCTGGGATCTGGCCTTGGCGATCGCATTGGTGGCAGCGTGGGCGGTGCTGTCGCGGGCTTGACCGGGAATGAGCAGCAGAAGCGCGCGGCGCAGGAGCAGCATGATAAGGGAAAGACGCTGCAGAGGGGCGTTGAGGCGGATCTGGATAAGCAGGCGAGGTCTTAAGGGCGTGCGCCTGGCGGGGGTGGCTGGCGGTAGAGGCAGCCATGAGTGCGGAATGCTTGACTTGATGCGATGATGGTAGCGATGATATCCCCTGTAGCACCCATACAAACCTGATATCTCTTACGTACCGCCGTTGTCTTTGCTCCGCATTGTGTGACCAAGGCCAGAGAGTGTGACTTGCTGTTCGCAGAGTCGGCTCCAGTTTCTTTTGGCCATTCTATCGGGCATGGAGATGAGGCATCGAGGATTGACACAAGGGGAAGGCTCTCGTGTGACCTCGGGAGTCGGCTAGGGTCATGCTGGTGGACTAATTGCCTCAAAGGCATGCAGGTTACGACTAGGTGCAGCGGTAAGCTAAAGTCCAAGTAAATGTTGTCCATAGGAGAATTGTCAGAGTCCTTCGTACGAGCCACGTCTTTCCAGGGCCAGAATCGCAGAATCTTACGAGAACGTGCTGCTCCGTGACCTTCCGATGGCGCTTGAAGCGCGCAAGGGCTACCCGAAGACTTGGTTGCCGCATTGAAATTGAGTGCTACTCAGAACCCTGAAGGTGAAGAGCATACGCATAGTTCACAAGTTAAAGACACCTACGGCGACGATGCATTAAAGAGCTAAACTGCTAAGCGCTTTTGACCCTCTGCCGTATGACATTGGTCTAGCTGCTTGACTATTGACAGGACCATGAATCCAGTTTGATTGTGAATCTGGTGTTGAACAAGCTGGAACAAAGACGCGGCAACGGCTTTTCTTTTGGTGCTTACAGGTGACTTAGACTATGGTAATCGTCCGCTCTTCGCAACTGTCAAAGATAGTCGGATCACCATTCACCGGTCTACCATCCTCCACCGGTATCCAGAATATGCCTATGCGACGGTATTCGGCCGCTGCTTCGGAGGAACTTATGGGTGTAAGGACGAGTCCGATAGGCGTGGTATCTGCAGGGTGGCAGTCAAGACGGGCATTCGCCAGTAACAATATCCACATGTTGTGCTCCTCCGTTGGTTCATGATACTCTCCAGACGATATACGCTGCTCACAGTCGGCACAACCGGTAACTTTGCATAATCCCTGGGAGTCAATATTACCGCTCGCGACGATTCGGTCATCTTTGAGGATTTCGTGATGCGTATTGATCGAGAGCGAGCTGTAGTTATCGGAAAGATTGGGCTGCACTGAGTCGACGTGTATTAAACGTCCCTTCACCTGCAGCTGGCCTCCAGAGACACAGTCAAAAGGGTGTGTCTCCTTGGTTGATACCGTGACATCAATGATGGTAACCTGGCGTTCCAATCGTCCAGTCACAATGCCTGGGGGATAACACACTACTCCATCGAACGCGCTCCAGGACCAGCTTGGCGCACGGCCATCCGATCTTCGCCACAGGCTGCACCGATCGTACGCACGGGTCCAGAGCAAGCTTCTAACAAGATCGCGCTTCCAAAGGCCAGCCAAATATGTATCCTGGATCCCGAACAACCGCAATTCATCCCACATGGTGGCCGCCAGCCCTGCTATAGCAGGCAGTTTATCGGATTTGTATGTCAAGTGTCGCTTCGAGTACTCCCATATGTACCGGTACCAAATGATGTATTGAGCGTTGGGGCCACGTTCATGTAAGGTTTGCTCTGGACACCAGCTGGGCTCGCCCCTTTTGCGGAATCCTATTGAATCTTCTGTACGTCGGCCTTCCTGGCAATCGTAGTAGACCTTAGTCCGGCCGAAATACAAAATCCTTCTAGACAAAAAACGCTCTTGGAAAGTCCATCCACGCTTGTTGTATATCGAGAGGTCGATATCTAGTAGGAAATCGTTATCGGAACAAATAATTGTACTGAGGTGCCGGAAAAGGCCATACGATCCGATGACCGAGCGTTCTTCGGAAGTAACGAAGGGAACGTTGAATACGGGACGACTACGGTTCCGTTCATGAAAGATGCCGTCATAGGGAGAGCTGTCTACCGCCGATGCTACAGTGAGATAAGCCTGGCCATACACCTTACCCATAAGTCCTATCTCCCTCGCCAAATCTTCAGGATCGTCTTGAACAATACATAATGAATCTATCCACACATATCTGATCCCTAGCTCGCGTGCCACAGTAAAAAGATCCCGAAAGCTTTGGGGCATCGCCTCGAGGGATATAGCGCATCTCCGTTGATGTACGTTATCTTTCGTAGTTTTGAAAGGCATGAAAGTAGATGAGAGGGAGCCCCAGCAATAGCTGAAGGCGAGATATCGAGTTTCCAGACCGCGAAAGGGCAGCTTAGACAAGTCAGAATCCGTACAGTGGGCTGTGCCCAATGGTCCTAAGTTCGTGGAGAGCAGGCGAAGTTGATCCGGGCATGAAGCGTCTCCTAAATCGATGAGTCGCGTCGGTACGAACGGCGTTGTAGTAGTTTTGCAAGCGGGATGGTCGCTAGTACAGGCCTTAAGCCACTCACCACATAATCGCATGGTTCGCGGATTTAGTGCAATTGCTTCCACGGGTCGCCGATGTATTCCTAGGAAGCGGGCCACTGTCGTTTCTTGATTACATCAGCTTCGCTCTAATCAACCTGACAAGGAGTAAGAGTGAGAGGTCCGTTTACCGGAGTCAGTCACGACGTTGAATAGAAGCGTGTAATGGGCGATCTTATCAAGGACGACAGGTACATCCAGCTCAACAAGGCCGATTTTGAAGGGGCTCTGAGCATTCACCTGCCAACCGTACCAATGATACGTGAGCTGGTCGATTTGTACTTTGAGTTCCTGCTCCTGCGTATTCTCTTGTTGGGCTATGGCTTCGTTTGATAGTGTTTCGACAAGCTCCTCTTTCAGGAAACCACAAAAGCCGCACCCCCTTGCTGCAGAGGCTGTGAGGTGCGGAAGACGTGGAAAAGTATCTTTAAGCCCAAAATCTACCACGAGCTTCCAGTCTTCCGGACACTCAAGGACGACCTCTCCACTGTCAAGGGTTCTCGTGAAGGCCCTCGTTCTCGACGTCGATAACGATCGCTCTACATCTGTCGCAGAACCCAGGGATTGGTGGAGCAGTACGACTCGGCTTGCTGTTGCTCGAAGGCCCGGAGGCACCGCTAGGAGAATCAGGTTCTAGGACGGTGGGGTCATTGTCCAGCTCGCTCTCGCTCGAGGGGGTAGACGCCCCTTCGCGTTTCTCGGGGTTGTTCGCGGGCTCGGATGTCATTTTTCTAAGATTCGCGCAGCTCTGACGGAAAAGTAACAAACAGATGTTGGAAAGTAAGTCAGACGAGTGCTCACAGACGCCACCGCCAGTAGAAGCGGAAGCTACGCATTATATCTCTCCATGAGCGAGGCGTGCGAGGCAAGGCTGTGACGAGGCTGGAGGATCCCCCGCCAAGTATACCGGCAGCCACATAGCTGTGCAACCTTGGTAGAGTAAGCATCATGTAGTCTGCGTTTCAAGTGCACGGGAGGTTTTTGAATTGATTGGATTCAACACCAATCTTATAATATTGGCATCAACATCCGCCGATGGCAGAGGTGAGGTCGGTATGCGTCACGTGACAATCGCCAAGTCGTTGCAGAACAGTGAGCGCCACGACTTCAGCTTCCGAAGTAATCCTCAAGCGTTGTATATGTGCTTTCTCGGACTCCCGCTGCTTTTCAGTACAACTTATGGCGACAATGCATGTTCTTTCATCATGTTTCGATCTCATTGCCGAGTTCATTGATTACTTTACAGAAAAGAGGTCATGAAGGTATCAGGTACCATGTACGCTAAGACGAGGTTCCAGAAGCGCCAGGACGACCGCAAGCCTTCTAAGAACCGCCGAGCATGCTCTTGATCTTGCTGGTGATGCCACCCCCGCTGGAGCTGTCGCCCGTGTCGGTGGTCGACGTGGTTGAAGGTGCATCGGATGGAGAATCCTTCGTCATACCCTTCTGCTCCATGAGGCCTAGGGGGGGCGTGTTAGGATTTTTGTCTTTGAATAGAAGGAGTTGGGGAGACGGTGTTCACTTACGGGTGGCCTCCTTGCCAGCACCCGGCTTCGTAGCATCGAAGTCGCCGCCCTCGGCAGCCAGACCCGACGTCTTGACCCACTTCTCGCCAGTGCCATACACCTTGCCGTGCTCGCCGCCACCCGGCTGGCCCATGCTCTTGCTGCGGTCAGGCTCGTCCTCCTCGGAGCCACCATGCACCTTCATTGGTTCGCCGGAGTGGTCGTCTGGGTCTCTCTTGTTGAGAGCCTCCTCGGCTTCGTCCTTCTTCCCGGACACCGCCGCCGCCTCCTCACCGGAAGGCTCTTCCATCGGCCTGTCACCACCCTGGTGCTTCTGGTCGGGCTTCTGGGCAGACATGGGGTCGGCGCCGACTGAAGGCTCCGCAACGCCGAAGCCGCCCACGTTGTAGTTCTTGCGGTCCTCGTCGCGCTCAGTTGGAATGACGTCGGACCCGTGGGGGTCGTTCGAATGCATGCTGGTCACCCCAGTCTTGTCGGTCTCATGCTCCGGGCGGGGCTGGCCTGTGGCTATGCCACCACCGGTTGTGCCGGCCGTGGTCGAGCCGCTGAGGGTGTCGCTGTGCCGAGACTCGACGGAGGTATCGCCGCCTGGGAAGAGAGGCTGTTAGCAAAGCTGACAAGAAAGACCAAAAATAACTAAAATAAGGTACCGGGTGGGAAGTTGGACGTTCGGCCGCTTGGTCCGATGTTGCTCGTAGAACGCTCAGCAGTGCCGAGGTTGCTCGAGGATGTATCCGTTGGACCAATTCCGCTCATGGATCGATCCGTCGTGTCGTATCCGCCCGTAGATCGCTCAGTCGTGCCTTCGTAGCTGCTTACAGGAGCAGTGCTGCTCTCATATCCGCCAACAGGAGCCGCGGTGCTTTCGTAACCGCCCGTGGTAGCGGCAGTGCTCTCATAGCCACTGGTAGGAGCAGTGCTTCCATAGCCACCCACAGGAGCGGTGCTGCTCTCGTAGCCGCCCGTAGGAGCCGTGGTACTCGCATAGCCGCCTGTAGGAGCAGTGGTGGTCTCGTAACTACTGACGGGAGCTGTGGTGCTCTCATAGCTACTGATGGGAGCCGCGGCGCCTCCAGTGCTTACAGCACTCGCACCGCTCTCGGGCTCGCCAGTCGTGCTGTATTCAATGCCCCCATAACCTGTGGAGGCGCCGCCGACGACGTACTTGTCCGACTTGGGCTCAAGTCGCGCTGCGCCCTGGCCAAAGGTCTCCTCGTACGCCGCAGGGCCAGTTCTCGGATCGAGCATGTTTCCGGCGAAAGTGGGATGGGGCCCGTGGTTTCCGGAGGCCGGGTGAAGCTCTGGCTCAGGTATTGGTATCTCAGGGATGGTTGACCTACGGTGTTCTTGGGCGAACGCACCTTCTTGGGCGGCTGCTCCACCTTTGGCGGGATCATCTATACGGGGGTATGTGTCAGCTATCAGCTAATGTAAGAAGGTAAAAGAAATTCGCGAGCAGATCTGTCCGTCCTCCAGGCAAGATGCGACTCGTGGATCGTGTGCCGGCTGAGGATTATCGGGTGTGAGAGGGCTCTGGCCGAAGCAGGATGCGCCCTCATTGAAGGAATGCCGTCGGCAGAGGAGGCAGGAGCCGATACGCACCATACTGGTTTCCCTGGTCGTACGGCTCGTTGACCGTGCCAGCGCCAGTCTGTCCTGAAACAGGCTCCTGCCCGGACTGCGTCGTGTTGCCGGAGCCCATCAGGTTGCTCGCTGTCTGTTTCACCGACTCCATTGTGGTGTATGTGTAGTAGATCTGGGGAGGTTGGAGAGAATAACTATGTTGGATGCGGATCTAACAAGGTATGTCTGCGAGGTTGAAGCAAGAAATACGACAGCTTGCGGGGGAGTGAATGGACGAGGAGTGGAAGATGACGTGCCCCTCACTTGCAGAACCTCTCTTTGCGCGGGCCTCAAACCGCGGGGGGCGCGGGGCACGTGGCAACGTCATCTCGCCCAAGCCACAGCTCTTCCAGACCGGGCGTGAATGGTTCGGGGGCTGCTTCCTTCGCCGATAAGACAATGGCCCGCCAATGGCAACGGAGTAAAGTAACGGCAGAGGCATAATTCAGGGTTATCGACCGTTGAGATGCTCGCACAAGCAATTCGATGGCCCATGACGCGAGGAAGCTTGGTGACCACGCCTAGTCGCCTAGTCCTCGTCGAGTAAGAAAGTCCTAATATGCTACACTGAGTAACTATCCGCCGAGTCGCGCGATGTGAAGTCCAAAAGGGTAGGCCACAGGAATAGTTCCATCTACATGTACCCGAGTCGAGGTTGGGTTAAGCTAGGCAGATAGGTAACGGTAGCCTGTTCATATTTACATGTCAGAGTGAAGACGACGGGGTTTATCATTGTACTACTATATTCAAGAGCTCTTGAACCCAAGGCGATGACGAATTGATCGACGGTGATTCCATACAGATTCACACGGTGTTGATTGAGAGCTAGGGAGTATTTACCTAGTAAGAGCTTGGGTTTTACAGTATTTAGTAACCGTGCTTTGGAAATAACGGCTTCCGATGCCCTCTATATCCAGCTGCAGCGCACAACAGGACACGACATTTCTTCCGGAATCCAGCGAGCCCCTACCCTATTCCCCATGCTCACATGCAATACCACTATCCCAGACCTCATGCCACAAAATCCCCCTTACCTCCTCCGGCCAAGCATCTCAGCCCCAAGTCCGTCTCTCGCCTCGTTCCTCGTGATCTGCTCCGCCGCTTTAACCAGGTCATACGTGATGCGCTCGTCGACAACGCTATCAAACCTGTAGTCCGGATGCCCGCGAACAAAATGCCGCATCCACTTCGCGCCAGTCCACAGCGTGCCGTCAGCCCTCTTCCGGATGAGGTCGAGATACCTCGCAAGGTCGCAGCGCGTCTCGACGTCTACGTTGACGCTGTTCAGGTAGTTCTCTACCAGCGGTATGAGGCCGGGGAAGCCGTCGGCAGCAGGGTGCTGGCCGTTGATGATCTCGTCCACGGTCATGAGCTCGTACTCGTCCTCGACGGGGCCGACAGGCGATGGCGGGCGGCTGACTGGCAATGGCGTTGTTGATCCTGATGCGCTCGAGCCCGTCGCTTTAATGGGGCGGGAAGGGAACGGATTTTTGCGGAAATAGAACTTTTCGCTGAGGACGGCATCTCTGCGGTGGGCGGTCTCCATGTTTTCGGTCGTCCGTTGTATAGGCACGTAGAAGTTGAGGTCGAAACTGAGGATGACCCTGGTGATGAGGACGATGAAGATGGAGAACGCGGCGTTTTCAAAGTCAGTGATCTGAATCTCCATCGGCCTGAACTCTACGCGCCAGCCGGTGTCGTTACCTGGTGGTGGCGGCTTGAATCGCATGTGCTGCCAGTTCGTGGACTGCAGGTTCTCGAAGTGGTCGACTTTGCTCAGATCTAGCTCTTTCAGGTCTTCATTGAAGACTACTATCGGATCCCGGATGAACAGATGAGCGAAGTGCGTGGCTAGCAGATCGTCCATCCCGCCCTCTACCAGGCGTTTCTTGAGATCCTCATCAACGACCAAGTCGGGGTCCAGATACTCCTTTCGTAGCCGGGGATCTTGGGATATATAAGTCGAGTTGGACGCATATCGAGACTTGGGTATCCGCCATCGATCGTTTTCGAGCGGCTTTTGTCCGTTAGTTAGAGATTTCCTTGTTCGTCTACGGACACGTCACCTACCTTCTCTCCTAGCTCTTCTGCGGTCCGGTCATCGACAGCTCTGCTAATCTGATTCCACCGCACATCCGTGTCCGCTAGGAATCCCTTGTAGATCGGGGTTGCAGCGGTGAGAGCGAGGAGGACAGGGCCTAGGGGACTGAGCTGGTCGTACATCTTCCGGCCTTCCTCGATATTCTTTGCCTGAAACGTGATCTGTAGACAGCAGCTACCCATGCCAAATGCCATCGCATCCATGTAGATATGGTTCTCTTTGGCAGCACCGTTGCGTACATCGTCATCTTCGGGCCAGTTGTGAAGGTCATAATTGACCGTGGGATCCTTGAAGGGCCACGGCGTGTTCTTGTCATGAAACACAGGCACATTGACCTCCACTTTCCTGCCCCTTCTCGCTCGGATGTTGGCGGCTAGCGTAGGGAAGCGAATGTGAGGATTGGCGATCTCATCGGGCAGAAACTGTGACCGCAGCTTCTCGCCTGACACGGGGTAAGTTGGCGTTGTGCAATCTCCACAGCCTAAGCGGGGAAATGTGGTTAGAGTTATGGGGTATTCGGTTGGATCCATGTGATCTTTGGCAATCTTCCTTCTGCGTAAGAATCAGCACAGTGCACTAAAGTGCGTGTTGACAGTATGGCCTACCGCCACTTCATGTTCGGTTCGACGTCAAGCAGATCTTTAAAGCCAATGCCCCATGGCTTTCCAGGAGTGGCCTCAAGCATGAAGCGGCCAAATTCAGGATGGAACACTGGAGCAGTCTCTCCCTCCCTATAATCCATTAATATGGGTATGTGGCCGGGAAGCTCTTCGCCCACTTCACTTGTCCGCGCTGCACGTCCGGCACACCACCACCCTGCTTCAACAGCTTCTCGTCTGATGCGAGCGCTGCCAAGATATCCGCTTGTCGAAGGGAGAGCCGGACCTTCTTGTTCTGGTCATCATAGCATACCACGAGGTACTCGACCTATGGGTCCCGTCAGACACCTGTGAGAAGCACGGCGAGGACATGGTGAACCTCATCTCCCCACAGCAGCGCATCGCGTTCCTTCCCTTTCGCTCGGCGCCATGTAGCGAGCAGTTGCTACTTCGCCAATAAGCCTATGGTCTGTCTCTATCTGCCGAAATTGTGTACCTCAATGCCCCATTCCCGGACATGGCTTGCTACTTTCTTTGCTTCTGGCCACTCCAGCGGCGTCCCAATTGCTCTGTCGAGCAAATGTCAGTCGACGTTCCGCTTCCAGCGGACTGCTACCGTACAGTAAACCCATTCCCCTCCTGATTGTCTGTTGGCCAGATGTACACTTGTCAGGTGCGCGCTGGCCGCTGGCTGTGTTGTTGTACGCGATATGAGGGGCGGCGCATGCAGCAATGCGGTATGCACAGGGCTGTAAAGTAGTCGGGTGATTGATCGTGGGCCAGGTACGGACTAAAGGACCCTTGCGCGGATGGTGATGTCAATCTGGGTTGTGATTGTCGGCTTGCCGGTTCACGACGCTGCGAATGCGTCTTTCCGTACTCTCGTTGAAATTGCTGCGGGTGAACATCTTGTGCGGGTGGATCGGTTCTGCTGATAAATCTCCGTGGAGGTTCAGCGCAAGAGATGACGCGATGTCCACAAATGGATAAGGCTGAGCCGAAGGTGGATGCATTCACCGTGGTGACAAAAATCGCCGGACTCAAAGAACCACGAACTGGTAGGACACTGCGTTTACTATCATTTGAAGGCTCCATCGTTGAACATAATAATAGTGCTAAGCTAGGAGTCTAGGCGCAAGGCAGTCAATATCGCCTTACAAACATGTTCAAGCTGTGACTAGAGGTGAAACGGTCAGATCAAAAGACCTCTGAAAACATAGTGAAGACGATAAATCTTGGTGATTTTGGGGTCCGGCGATTTCTATCACACTCGCGGCATCTTACTCTAAACCCAGCTTTTGCAGAACACCCGATGTTCTGCACCTGGACATGGCTCTCCTCGTTCGGGGAGGTAGAGCGAACAACATCGAGTCTCAAAGTGACAACCCGTTCATTCCGACTCTCTGGAGCTGCAAGTACTCGGTTAAAATTTCATCTGGTCAGGCGTTAAACCTTACGGCGAAGCGCATGACATTGATCTCAGCAGGTGCACCCTGCTATGCTAATCTTATTTCCCTCGCCGGAAAGTATGCAAAATCCTCTTCAAGTCTATGCAAAGAACAGTACACAGTGTTAGTGTATAACCGTCTTTCGGGTCGTGCTCGTATCTTCATCCGCAGTCTCTATCCTCTTACCATTCTCAGTCCATTGTACGTTAAAGAATCTACAGTTCCGCAAAGCCGTACAATGGGCATCTACACTGCTGTTTTAAGGACCTTGGCGCTGATCGTAGAATCTGTTGGCAGCACTCACACCAGGACATCCTTCTCAGGGTTCCGCCATGCGATTGTGATACCAAACCCATCGCACAAAAGCACATCAGCCGGTCCCCCCATTCGCTGTCAGCATCGGGCGATGTCTACTCACCGTGTCACATTGTCCTCCCAGAGCCCAGCTCGGGCCTCTGCGTTACCCAAAACCCCCCTCCCCAAACCTTACACCCGATTCATTGACACCGGATAGCCGCATCTGGGCAGCTGCCAGCGGCGTCGCACGCAATAGCGACTTCACGATGGTGGCGCGGCTGGCGCTCGGCAGGAAACGGAAGGTAGGGCGCAAGCATCTTGACAGACGCCATTCGATCTTGACAGCCATCTCGTGCGCGCCGCGGACGCAGACATCCTAGCGCGGATCTTTTGCTTTCCGCCAGAGACGCCTTTGTCCGTGAATCCAAATTGCGCCGGGGCTCTCAAGCACGAAGCTTACACCGATTGGAAGCCGGGCGCTTGGTGATACACTGCGCGGGAGCTGGTGAGAGTCAACCCACCGCCGCAGTCCCCAGACGGGGGACAAGAGAGAGACAGGTTGTCTAGAAATCGTTCTTCATCATTCACCCTTTTCACTCATCCTACTACTCTACAGTGTGAGCCTCCCCAATCAATCGCCATACATACGCGAAACAGAGATCCGGCCTGGACGGGCAACCACGCCATCGGTATCCTCGTGAAAATCCCGCATCAAATACACACGTTTTCCTCCAACTCCTTCAGCGAGGGGGGTGGGAAAAGGGGGACCTAAAAGCCCCCGCTGCCGATGCACGCAAGCCTCTCAAAAAAAAAAAAAACCTGTACATGCCCAATATGCAGAAAGCCGCCGTCACCGGGCTGAAACCCGGGCCCGTAGAAAGACACACAAGAAACAACGTGACCGTTAGAAGTAGTTCGTGAAACCCAACAAGTTCGTTATGCAGTGGAAGGAAATTTTTTGGAGACGATCCCAGGCCGGCGGAGCAAGTACTCCGGTGTGCGGAGATGCAATGCGCCGCTGTAGCCCAGGCTGTGAGCCCTTAACGCCAAGGATGGACACAAGGAGAAGCGATCGTGCCCTGATTTTGGGAGAGTGCCAAGTAAGCACTAGCTCCTGCGGAGCATGTGACCTCCTGAAAGAGGTTCTAGTCTTCCCGGCGCGTACGGGTGCTCCAGTGGTGACAGAAGCGCGCATGTGAGACGGGCTCGAGCAGGAGATTGCCTCGTCTTTTGTGGCCGATAGAAGATCCAGTCGTGCGAGATTCGTCGTACTGGAACTGCTCGATTTCAGTTCGGGGACTCGTATCCCGTAACTTGAGCGATAAGTGAGGCGTGGAAGTGTGTCGGTTGCATTTTGTTGCCGGAGTGGATGAAAGCCAGGGGCAGGTAGATCTATGCCCCGGAACCGTCCGGGCCAATCGACTTGGGGCGGAGATTGGACCCGCCTAAAGACTTCCTCTCGCCATTCATCTTCCGGGTAAGCTTGGCATAGTCTGTAGGTCTAGATGTTAGTCGCTTGAGCTATGTCTAGAGGTCTGGAGTGAGACTCACGAAGACCGCACGCATTGCAGAGAGTGCGTGCGCCGTCAGGGCCACGGCGCCACTCTGGCGTTTCCGCACGGTTGCAGCTGTGACACCGACCAGGCGGTGCAGCTCGCTAACAAGAATTAGCACTTGTTCAACCCCTGTCTTGGTACACTGTGAGGATGAACTTACACCCCGCCTCTTTTTTGAGTCAGGTCCTGCAAAACCTCCGGCTCCCTTTGAGTCGTCATTGAAGGAATTGGGATCACCCGACTCGTACGATCCAGGCCTGCAGCGGGGGTCCTGCGCCTGCTCGGCCATAGCTACTTGATGGGTGACGACAACATCGCGTATTCGGCGTAATGATTCTTCAATGCGTGCGGAGTGGTCAAGGAGTTCATCAACCTCTGCCACGTTTGGCATGGATCCAGGCACAGGCCCGCTCCTCTGTGTCTGATGCGCACGCTGTTGATAATGGCGGGTGAAGTCTAACAGCTGACTGCTGCTATTTGTAATCTATGTTGAGTGTGAGTACGGCCCATCAACGTTTTGACGGCAAGGCTTACCTCGAGTAAAGAGGCTTCGAGATCAAAATTCTCTAGATGTCGCTTGACAGACTCGCCATATGCGGGTCCAACGACACGTCCAGCCCTCTTGCTCTCTTCTGCTCGAGACACTTCAGTTCCGTCTGACTTCCATGTCGTGGGAGGATAACGGGCTACTGGAGCTTGATGAGATGCAGGAGGGTACATGGGTGCCGGTGCGCTAGGCGGAGGTGCTGAGTAAGGGTATTGCGCAGAGGGGTACTGATAACCGAAGGGCGACTTGACAGAACTAGATGATGGAGGTGGCGGTGCATAGGCAGCCGGAGACTGAGTGGCTGCATACTGATGACCTAGGCCGGGCTGAGCACGCTGGATGGGCGAGTGAGCAGTCTGGATTGGATGTAATGTCGGCAGTTTCGAGCTGGGTGCGGTAGAGAACGATGACCTTGGATGCGGATCATATCGTGCTGGCGGGACGGGCGGTGCGGGCGCCGCAGATATCGGTCGGCTCATGTACGGACTCTGCGGCGCTGGATGCGGGTACGGATTCGATGGAGCTTGATATTGATAGTCGGTGGCGTAGGCTCTCCGACTAGGATCTGATGGTGGCTCGGCGTGATAAGATGGATGATGCTGGATACCAGATGTTTGCGGTGCTTGCATGTGCGGAGGGAACGACGGATCTGAGCCAACAACCTCATGAATGGACGGAAGGGTGTGCTTGGGCGGCTGTGCCTGATCTTTATCGTTCTCAGACGTGCAACGAGACTCAGGCGGAGAGATTAGGCTTGACCACCCACCTGGCACTGAGCTGGCAGCAGCTTGCTGGCTGTAGGGCGGCGGAGGGCCCGGGTATGGATAAGACGGGTTGATCATGGCTGTGGTTGATTGCGTGCGTTGGTATTCCGCCTCGTCCTTCTTTAGCTTTTCCACGTCCAGAAGGTTGAGTGGAGGAAGCGAGGCACTATCGAGCGGTTAGAACACGTTCAGCCATAGAGAGACAGGAGTGAGCAGTCCGTCGACGGCGACAAACACGGACCTTTGCCTGCTGCCGGCATCCACTGAATCCATCGCGGACGGCGTCCGTAATGGCAGCGAGGTTCTTTAATTATTCAAATGAGCGGACTCTGCGCAGTCGGTCGGGCGTCGTGAGTCCCGCGGGACTATGTAGCCTCCCGATACAACGGCCGACCCGAGACGGATGGTTTGCCCTTGGGACTTCCACGCAAGGTGCGATGCTAGCGCCAGCAAGGAACAAGCAGCTCTCGCCGCGACGCCGAACGCTCGCGATTGCAGCTGTCAGCGGCGGGAAGTCGTGAAGAGCGACCGGCGAACGGAGTGTCGATGGAATTCGAGCGGATCGCTATGGACGGCGTGTTGTGTGGTTGACGTTGGGATCCAAGCGTGGCACAGAACGTCAAGGGACAAGCGGGTGCGAAAAGTCAGGGTGACAGCGGCGTGGATCTGGCCGGCGGGTTCGTCTGGCAGCAATCGCAGCAATCGCAGCGCTGGCCGAGCTGTGGCGAGATGGTGGTGATGGCGGACAGTCCCGTGACTCTGATGGGTAGAAGGTTGTGGTGTTGGTGACGGTGACGGTGACGGTGGTGGTGATGGTGATGGTGATGGTGATGGTGATGGACGACAGACGAGAAATGCTTCTGTCAGTGACCGTGGACGGCGCGGCGCCGGGCAACGGTGAGAGAGGGGAACGGGGGTGCGAGGCGTGGTGACAACCAGCCAGCTCGTCAGATTGCACTACCACCTTTGGAACACGGCAGATCGCGATCGGTTCAAATCTAACCGAATTCTCCTCAGGACCTGCCCTAACTTGAGTGTTTCCACGAGGCCGCTGGGCGACTCAGGCCAACGGCCACCCTCCTCCTCAAGCGAGAGGCGAAAAGCCGCCCAGCTGCCCTCCATGTGCTGCTAACGTTAGCGCGTTGGACAAGAGCAAGTCATCCCCAGCGTCCCCTACTCCCGTCCGCCACGCAGCGAGAGAGACGCAGGACCCTTTCCGCGGCCAGGAAGAGTGGAGGGAAAGGCGTCGAGTCCACAGCGCCAGCCACGGCTTCAGCGGGCCTCTCCATGGACGCCCCCTCCCCCCCGAACAGCGACGATGCAACGCCTTGGAAGTCAAGATCCAACTCCACGCCTGCGAGAAGACGTCGCCAGCCAAGCGACAGGGTCCAGGATGATGGCTGTCAGATGCGCGCCATTCGATCTCGCCCATGGCACCTTTCGCCCGGACGACCCTTGGTCAGACCGGCGAATGGAGTAGTCTCCTTTCGGTACCGCCGGGAATCTCCCTCGCTCCACCCAGATCACACCAGCAACGCTGAGATCTCTGACGTGCTCCATCATTACTCGTATCCATACGACGAGTAATCGAACAGTCGGCCTTGCCGCCGTTCCTCCGACGGACTCTTCTACCACTGCAGGCTCATAGCGGCCAGTCTGACAGCAGCGCCGTGGTCGAGTAACGCCCGCTCGCTGAAGTCAACATTATGGCCTGATGTTCTGCCTGCTGCAGCCGTCCCCGCAAGCGGGATCCCGGCCCAGTGGCTGCAATATCGGGCGTGTAGCACGATATCTGTCTTTGGAGGACACGGTTGCGTCAGCGCCGTCGACAGAGCACTCATGCGAGGAGCATCTCGATATGGAAGATTCAAACGTTGCCGAGACACGTGCTGGGGCTTTTGTAACCCAGTGTGCAGCCGCTGTCACGTCTGGAAAAGGACAGGCAGCCCAGTCAGGAGCTCAGTCGGGGAGCTCCGTTGGTGCCAAAGATGCCGCAGATCTCTAAACCCGGCCACGAAGAAACTAGCCCCGACAGGTTGTTGAGTCCTCAAGGAACCAACTCCGTCGTACTCCCTGCAGGGTTGTTCGCCTCTCCCTGTCCCCCAATGCTGCAGATTGCTGCCAGTAGTGTCTTCCGTGTGGACAATGCTGCGCCAGGCACTAAGTCGATCTCATCCGAGTTATCGTGGAGCATCTTGGGAACCACGGGGAACCTCGAATGGATCGACGAGAATCCAGAGAGGCCACTGATACTGGACTCATCGCTTCGCTCGCTAATCCCGCAGGGGGCTGCTTGGGGCCCCTGCAATCACGATCGGTGGCTTGCAACGGCGAAGCAGCGGACGCTTCGAGCAGCAAGTCTAGCCGTACAATGCTTCACCGCCGACCTCTCACAGGCTTTCAATGACGCGGTCAATGCGCCCTTAAGCCCTGCTGCAGATAACGCAAGCAAGTTGGGCGCCGCAACCTCTTCTTTGCGCGGCCCCATTCATCTCCTCAGCCTCTGTGAGAACACGGACATTATTAATGACATTCCTCATGTACTAGAAAAAATCTTCTTTAATGTTTTGTTTCAGCATAGAGTTCGTAGCAGGATCCATCAGCAGTGCACGGCACACCCAGTCTCGTTCGTCGGGCTCTAGTCGCTGGACTACAACGTTGGGCAGCCGTCTGGCGCACACGCCGGCGCTCGCTAGTCCTCGATCTCGATCTCTCTTCGCGTGTCTCGCGATCTGAGCACGAGTGGGGCACAGGGTAGTGGCCGGCGGGAAACCTTCCAAGGAAACGCCGCGCACGCGTCACGTGAGTGAAGGAACACCAACTCTCGAAACGGCTTGCAGGAGGAAATCTTAACATTTAATGTCAGCAGGTTGCACAGATCTGAATGTTTCTGCAGAACATAAGTGAAAACACCGCGTCCGCGGAGACACCAGGCTCCCAGCAGAGCCCGTTTGAGCCGCTGTTGGGCGGTATCATTGCACGCCCAGAAAACTCCTGAAATCCGCCGCGTCCTCAAGTACCATTCTTGGAGATATGACGCACGAAAGGCAACCAGATTGAGCGCTGCAGCATCTTTAGAAATCGTCTTCTGGAGCAGTGGGATGAGTATGAGCGGCTGCAGTCAAGAGCTCAAAATATCTTGTAAAGGAGTTAATCTTCATCCTTATCCGGAGGTCTGCTTTCAAGTCCTCAACGCATTCGCAAATATACGGCTAAGCACGGATTGCCGCGACCCTAACCGGCTACTGTATGATGATTGAACCACAGTGAGATATCACATGGTGCCCGTTCCCGTTTACATTTTCGGGAAAACGTCTAGGCAACAGGGAGACATATTGGGGAATTGAAATGCTCACGGCAAGTAATCACGGTAGACTTGCAAGTTCTCTTGCCCCGGATCTGGTTACGAAGTAATACGAGATCGACGATCGAACTGTGCTGTTACTCATCTTCGGGCGTGAAAGAAACAGCTTGTTGCCGAAAAGTATTGAGTGATGATAGCCTCAAGCTCTCTTTCCACAGATGCCTCAGCCCGAAAGTTCGTTCTATGGAAAGACTCACGACGAGACTATGGGCTTCTTTCGGATTCTGCGATCAAGACTATCTAGGATCACGGAAGCAGACGACACCTGTACATACTTACATACCCGGTAGTACAACAACTATCAAGTCACTTGATGTAGGTGCTCTGGTTGAGTATCATGCACGGCTTCCCCTCGAGGACCATGGCGGTAGTCTCGAGGCGCGGGTGGGGAGCCGCGAGCAAAAGACATTATCCCTCGGTCTCATGTTTAGGTATCTTCTCAGGAGATGCATCTATCCTTTAACGAATGACCGTTGACAAGGATGCTTGTGTCCATGAATCAAACCTACATGCGCTGTCGCTGTTGTGGCATCGTCCTGCGTCAAAGCATGATCGCAACCGGATCAAACCGTTTCTCGCGAACCCTGCGTTACAATATTCGCCCGCGGAGTCCCAGGATTTACAAATCTAAAGAACATCGTTAACAAGATGCTCAACTACTCGACATCGTAGTCTGATGTTGTGCTGCAATCGCCCCTTCCTGACACAATATTTACGGCCAAGGCGCTATCCAAATAGTTCGTTGTCGCCTTGAGTGCTATTCATGGACATCGAGCTGGACAACCTAAACACAATTTACAAATGGAAAACACCTTAGGTGATCAACGCAGTGAAGAACCAAAGTGCTGAGCATCTTGCGCTCCCTATCGTCTAAAATCGCCTCTGTTGCTTAACACGATCAGGAATCTAGCTCAAATGAGAACGTAGTATCATGTAGCTAGCAGCGAAGATATGGCAGTGAAGCCTTTTGATAGCCATCTGTGCGTGCGTTTGGGCAACCTCTCCCTTTCCGATTGCATCAGTCGAGGTGTGAATACAAACGAATGCTGAAACTTTTTACAGAGTACCAATTCAGCGTTGAGAGCAACTACCCATGCTGTAAAACAATGCCTGATGGCTTGGACAAGCCGGACTGTCCCTGCTTCCCTACCACATCTGATCCCCTGAGGGAGGCTCTCTGCAAGCCTTCGACGCCAGTCGATGCTTATTTTCACATCACAACAACAAGGAGATAGGTATTCATGAAACGCGTTGCTAAGCCAATACCACAATCTTGGGCTTCTAGGTGTCGGACGGTGCTTGCAATATATACTCGTCACCTAGAGACCTTGCTATTCTCACACTAAGTAAATTCCATCACCAAGTCTCCTGCTTCAACCGGCATCGTGCTTGTGTGTTCGATAGCACTGCTCTCTCGCCTTCTAACTAGCAAAACCCGTCCCAAGGTTTCTCTTCAACATCACGCTGCGTTTCTGAGGTTTACCCTCAGTACCCCAGCCGTCCCATGAAAATTTATTCCAGCCTGAATGCCGGAAAATGCTGTACCTTTCTCTTGCTGCTGAGATGAGGGCTCGACCGCACCTCATGAAAGCAACGATCGACCCATGCCATCGCTATGTTTTGGGCGGATCTCTTCCCCAGGTCTTCGAGGCGCAGGCAGTGCCGCTGTACATAAGCAAAAATGTTTCTTGAAGCTTTACAAAGGACGGGAGCAGACTGGACAGTCGCACGATTATTCTAAATCCAATCTTACGTAGAGTTGGAATCGAGCTGGACCTGTACTCCTGAAGCTGTGTTACTTTAACACCGTTTAATACTCGTGGAGTGCACCAGAGCGTTCAACCAGTAAACAAAGCATCCTGTTCACCATCTGGAATCAGTATCGTGCTGTCATCACCAACATCACTACGCCCTCACTTCTGTTGCACCCCTGAGCTACATGTATTCCATCGGAGTGTTTTCTACAATATCTCCAGCCCGTCTACGCATGCTGCTGGTATCGACGTTGTGGTTGTACTCATACGAGTACGTGCAATTAGGAGTACTTGCCTAGCAACCAGACCCTGTGCGGCTAACCAAAGGAGAGCGTGGCGTATTTTGGGCGGATGAGCGGCTATCCCCCTGTCTAGCGCGCCATTCCCCAATGAGCAACGACTTAGCCCCTTCAGACGGCGCGCTACTGCGAACCGGGGATTTCTTACCAGCGGCCCTCCTTGTTCTCTGTATTGTTACCCACTGCGGGCACTGTTCGCCGCAAAGCTTAACTTAAGTGCTAAAGGTACCACAGCGCGGGGCCCTGAAAGTCAGGCCACTCCTCACACCACCCAGCTCCAACCCTCCTACTCGTATCCAAGATTCCTGTCCGACCTCTTGCTGGCAAACGCACCGACATCCCCGGTTGATCGATTAGGCGCGCCCTGCGGTTCCCGTCAAGGTGAGATGCGCCTGCCTTCCGACTCGCCTGTCGACTCACCCGTCTTCCCCGGAATGCGGGATGGCGAGACCTTAACAGTGACCCTGCAGGCTGACCGCTGCAGGTTCCTTTGGAGGAAGCTCCAGCGGCCCCGAACTGGTTTGATCCATTCCCTTTGGAGCCAGGTGGTGAGCCTCGGATTCCCTGTCTTTGGTAAGACATTCAACTTTCTACCAGCCTCAGTCTTGACCTATCCGTGCCTTGCGCATGCTGCTCGACGTCCTCGTTGATGGAAAGAGCGCCGTCTATGGCACGCACCAACATGGCTGCTGCCAGTGGTCCAGAGGACGCCGTGGACCTGGAGAAGGTCGCTGTACGTTTAGTTTAGCTACGCAACGGCAACTCACTGTATTGGCGCATCGTGACTAACATGTTGCATCCTGTCCAGGTCGGACCGTATTGTATCTTGGATTGCTACAGGCCATCGCCCTCCACTCACCTAACACCCTCTGGGGTACCCACAAGCCGTGCGAAGATGGAGGACCCCTTGATGGGTGATTTATTCTTCAACACCGGTCTGAGACAGCCATGGCAGATACCGTCTCATGAGAATCTTTCTCTGTCCACACCCTCCGCAGAGATACTGCCCGCACAAGGCAACTGGGATGAATGGATGCGGTGGGATGGATCATCACAAGCACCGTCGCCAAAACACTCTATCGCTCAAGCATCGACTTCTCTCACGACAGATCAAAGATTTGCTCTTCCTCCACAACGGGAGGGCCCGCCACATCGCGGATCGCTTGCTGGATTTCATGCACACGAATCCTCGAGAGTCTCCTTGCAGGCCAACGGCTTGGCGTATACATTCGGGGGAAACGTTGAAGCTTCCCCAGCCTCGGGCTATACTACAGGCGCAATGAGCTCACCACTCGCCGGCAGGGCGTCTCAGAATGGTGCCTTCTACGCAGACGGTTCAGCCTGGAACGCGGACCAGCTCCAAGATGCTAGTGCCACAATGTTCCCACCGGTGACGTTTGGGGAACAACAGCAGTTTCAGAGCGGTCCACTGCCACCGCAGGCAGTACCTAGTCTCCATCACAGCCCAAGCTCTGCGACAAACGGGCTGGCAAGCTCCTCGTCACAGATTTCTTCGCCAGAATCTGTATCGCCACGTAACGGCAGCGCCAGCAAGAAGCGTAAATCATTGGCCGACGATGACCCTGTTGACCGTAAAGGCAAACAGCCGCCGGTGAAAAAGACCGCTCACAACATGATTGAAAAGAGATATCGAACCAACCTGAACGACAAGATCGCCGCCTTGCGTGACAGCGTACCGAGTTTGCGAGTCATGTCGCGCGTGAACGGTGTCGAGGAAGAGGATGATGCCGAAGACCTAGAAGGTTTGACCCCTGCACACAAGCTGAACAAAGCCACTGTACTCTCCAAGGCCACCGAATACATCCGTCATTTAGAGAAGCGGAACAAGTGCTTGTGCGACGACGTCGCCGCCCTCAAGGCTCGAGTTGATCAGCTGGAGAAACTGCCAATGGCAACACCGCTGGTAATGACTAATTCCGCGGCTACACCTGACAGTGTTCGCTACCAGGAGGATCCTTTCTCCACAACCCCTGTTCCAGGCTCGTCGCTTGCTCACAGTGCTCCACAAGGGATGATACCGGTGCCTGAGAGTATCTCGAACCTCCACCACGCAATGTCCAATCAACCTCATTACGCACCTGCGCAAGCGGGCTACCCCGTCTACACCACTGCTCCAGGCCGACCTGGGGTGCCCGCGCATCAAACCCAGCATGTGAATGCTCGAGGAGGCGGGCGATGGGGCAACAAGCTCATGGTTGGATCCCTTGCTGGCTTGATGGTCATGGAAGGTTTCAGCTCCCGTGAACAAAGTGGTGAACATCCGAGTGGGAGAGGCCTATTCGCGTTCCCCTTCGAACTCTTCAGGCGCGTAGGCGGTTCCTTTGCTCCTCGGTTACTAAACCGGGGCCTCGCCACTCTTTATGCTCTATTACCCTACCTGAAGACTCTTCTCATTTTGGGAGCTTTCCTGTACCTGATCTCCCCACTTTTCGAGCTCAAGCCAAGATCGAAGAAGAAACCTGCGCCGCATGTCCGCTTGTCGCCGGCTCCCTCGCTCGCGTCACCGGTTGCGGTGCGCCGCAAAGCATGGCTTACTGCAATTCAGACTGTGTGGGTACCACGGCACACATTTCTGCTGGAAGTTGCTGCGTTAGGCCTCAAGACGCTCAAGCTTAGCACTCGCAAGTTGGTTGGATGGCATGGATATGCTCTTCTTACTGGGATCACCAAGGAGCAAGAAGCTGCTAGGGTCAAAGCATGGGGAATTGCGCTGGACGCTCAGCTGACTGGAGGCGATGTCGAGATCAGCATGAGCAGGCTTGTACTAACTCTGATGGCCTCCGGTACATTGCCTGACACGCCAGCAAGGCTTCTGCTCAAGGCGCTACACATTCGGATAACGCTGTGGGAAGTTGCCCGAGCAGGTTATGGCACCTGGTATATGTTCGCAGAGACTTCTACAAAGCTGGCCCGGAGCTACTGGAACGCCGCACGGGCAGAACACAAGATGGCAATCAACTGCCCTTCAGACGAGAACAGTGCTGTCGAGCCGTTGCCGGACCATCTGGCTGCGCTTCTCGAACTTGAGTGCGACGATGTGTTGATAGACCGAATCGTTCAAAGAGCGTACAACTTAGCCTGGAACCGACCAAGCGCAGCCAACACCGAACCTGACGAAGCAATGGATAGTGTAGTTGAGGACTTCGCTATTTCTTCACCTCTGGATGCGCTCGCCGCCTGGTGGTCGAGCTACAGCCTCAACAAGGCTCTAGTACTCCACCTGAGCTCTGGACAGGTTATACCAAACAAGGAGACTCTGGACGACCTTGAACTAGCCATAAAAACTGCGCCGCCAACATCCGATGCACGCGCTAGAGCACTTGTCACCAAAGCCGTATTATCACCTACCAATCGTCAGCAGAACATCATCGCCGCCTTCGACACGTTCCCGTCTCACCCTCACTCATCCGCCGCCAGCGATGGTGGTTCTAGATCGCCACCCGCCGCTCTCATAAATCTTGTCGGAGAGACACCAATAGCACCAGACGTCAGGATTGCCCTGACACTGGCCAAATGCCTCTGTCTCGCGGAGCAAAGTGAAGCGCTGGACGCCGAAGCGGTCCGGCAGCGAGCTACCTTCGTAATCAACGACTTTCATCTGCCCGAGATGAGCCTCACCTTGCTCAGCTTTACCGCCGCTTACATGGTTGTTGATTCTTTCGCAGCCGATCAGACTCTGCGCTCTGAAGCCAAGGATGGGCTGGAGCGCATGACTAGCTCACTGCGGGTCTGGATCGGGCGTGCGGCTGGACGTCGAAGCGGCCTGCCTAACAGGGCCAAAGCCACGATTGTGGAAAGATGCCTCCAAGTGAGCAAGATGCTGGTCGGCATGCAAGAACCTATCGAAGAGGAAGACGCAGGGTATGTGAGCGGCAGTGATGACGACGCCGCCATCGAACGGGCTTGAACTTTATGAACCTGCACGATTCCTGGTAGCCTTTGGCATGTCTATAGTTCTCTTTCGTTGTTCGACTACCGCAGTTGAGATACCTCCTATATATACATACTATATTCCATACCGGCATCTTGGGTGTCCACGTTTTAAGGCTGTCTTCCAAGGACCTTTACCTTTACAGATACATAGATGCTGTAGCTGGCACAACTTACTCTTCGCAGTATGTATCCTGTATCTCATTTACCGGGTTTCACTTTCTCTACTTATCAAAATTTGCTGGTGGTGTGCGCTCTATCCGGTGTCGGTGTTCTTTCGGCAGTGGGCCCTGGACAGGCCAAAGGGAGGACTAAAACCATCCATTTAACGCCTGCAGATACCCATATCATTCTTCGTCGCTTCTGTTGGCCTGACAGACTAACGTCGTCGTTCGGCCCCTTGCTTTGATAGACACGAGTTATGAGATTCGGCAGACTGGTTCGAAGACAGACGGACAGGACGGCGGTTGTTTCTTTGCAAACTCTTTTCTACTTCGGCATCGATCCTAGGGGATCAAGAATCTTTCGATGGCGGCGGCATTGAAGGTGCTGCTTTATATGTTTTTTGAAGAGTGATATAGCTAGTGTGCCTTTCGGTCCGCTAAAAGAAGTGACATTCGGTGTTAAATGGGTTTGAGAGTATGAGATAATATACCACCCGATGCAGTGCTGCAGACGCTTACCTGGGTAGGTAGTGAACTTAAGAGCCTGTCAAGTGCTATGATGGTGCTGCACGGCTTGCTGAAGTGCATAACTTGAGCAACGGGCGAGCTCCCATCGTGCTTGTCCTCTCATCAACTCACGTGGTTCACTCTGATAGCAAGCGCTACTCGATCACATTGTACGACTTGTAACCAACTCTACAGTCTTACATCCCCGCAGGATTCTTAGTAGATATCTGGCAATGCAGTTCTTTGCATCCCGCTTGCGCTCTGTCAGGACAGGACTCTCATCTCCAGTGCGTCTAGGCCTGATCAGCGCGAAGGTGGGCGCAATGTCAATGTTCCACGAGGTTGAGATGGACGCAATCTGAGCAAGGCTGAAACGCAGGGTCAGCTTGTCCCGCCGTTTCAGCGCCCTAAGCGGGGACGCCGAACGCGAGGAGCGGGACCGGACGGTGAAACGCCTGGGCCCGTTGTTGACAAGCTCATGCCGCATACTCCCTGGATGGATTGGGAAACGCGGTGTGGCGATCCTCGCGGCCTGGCCGTTTCCGGGGGAATTGCGTGGACGCGACGGTCACCTCGCGCTTCGAAGAGCTCGAGTTGAAAAGGACAGTGCTTCAGAGCAGCAGTCGACATGGGCACCTGTGTTCCAACACATTGTTACTGCAGCCGACGGCTATTTCTGGCGGCTGTCTGTTAATCACAACAGCCGCGAGAAATGAACGACTGGATAGAGAGCATCCACGAGGCCGCGCCATGGGCTGGGGTGAAGAAAGCTTGCATACGGTAAGCGCCCGATGGCCCAGACAGCCTTGCATTGGTGCAGCTGCACGCTCGCAGGAACACAGGCGCTAGCATCCAGATGACAGCCCCTGGCAGGACCGTGACTGTTCGTGGGAGTGGGCAAGCCAGCTTGTTGCTTCAAGGTTGACAGAACACAATGCTGCATGGCAGCAAACATGGGAGGAAGCGCGTCACAAAGAGAGGACGCAGAAGAACAAGGCGCGGCGATTGGTGCTGATCGAACAAGCGGGCACTCAAACGGGCGGGGGGTGATTGGGCGATTAAGTGACTGGGTGACTGGGACGGCCACAAAGAGCGCCGTTGCGCGTGTCTGGCTGGTGTTTTCCGCCGCAGCCCCTTATTGGCCTTGTCCGGTGGCTTTCACCCTGACCCTACGCCGAGACGGGCCTGGCGCCGACCGGGCGGCCCTGACCCTTGCCCTCTTGGCAGCCAACTGCACTTTCTTCTCACGTCCACCTCCCTCCTTCCCACCCACGGCCTCCACACTCGCCTTGCGAATATCATCAATCCTTCCTCCCTTCCCACGCCCCGCGCTTTCTCTTACTCTCCCTCCTCTTCTCTCCCCGCTGCCTTCTTAGCAGTCGCTCTTGCATCTTTACTTGCACCCAGCCACGTCGCCCATTTAATCCAGCTCCCGTGGTGCTTTGCAGAGCAGCACCACCACCTTGATATTCTCGCGACAGCACCACGACTGCCACGTCTAGTCGCTCTCTTCACTGCCCCATCTCTTCACTTGTCGATACCCTGCAGCAACTTCTCGTCGCTTCTGCCTGACCAGTTTGTTCTATCTACGCTCCGCCACTCGCGACTGCTGCCTCCTGAGCGACCGCTCGACCCCCCGCTCCCGTCTTCTTCGCCAGCATCTTCAGAAGCGTGTTTTGCATCTTCTTTTTCGATCATACCGATCCTTAATTCCCTAATCTCGCTGCGTCGGTTTCTCAGGAAAACACTCCGCTCCCAGCATTCGGGTTCTCGCGATACAGATCAACCCCACTCAATCCCTACGAAGCGTCCTCTTGCCTGAGCCTTCTCAGCATCGCAAGGCCTGTGTGGAACAAAGGCGGCTTCCGCAACAGACGGTCATACAGCTTCTTTCTCTGTGCGCCAGCTGCAGCTTGCAACTTTTTCCCTTCATCTCCAATCATCGATCTGAGCGGCTTCTTCAGTCAACCTGCATCCGCTTCACCAGAATCCATCCAGCTACACTAGATTATCGACCAACATGAGCTCGGGCGCTGGCGGTCTTGCTCAAATGACCTACAACAATAACAACAACTTCGCACCTAGCGGCTTGGGCGTTCCCGGAGCCGGTTTCGCTTCTCGCGGCAAGGGCGCCCAGCTTAAACGTCTCAGTGTCGCCGCTCCGCCTTCGATCGCTCCCATTAGCGAGCATCACGCCGAGGGCGTTTCCACTCCAAGGACCAGCCGCTCTCACCTTCTTGCAGGCCTTCGTACCCAGCCAAAAGCGCAGCAGCCACCTGCGTCCGCACCATACAACCAAACTCAGCACAATTTTGGTCTGGAAAGCTCCAAATATGCCCCTCAGAATGGCATGACCTACGGACGTGGCATTCCTCAGACTGCAGTCGGGTCTAACTTTCCTACGGCTCTTCAGGCGCAGTATGGCATGGACACTAGCCAGCAGCTTTACTCCCTGCCTGAGCAGGTTCTGGCCCCACCGTCCATGCAGTACGGTGCTCAGGATGATCCGAACTTGGCAGCTCAGCTCTTGGCGACCGAGCTCTATCTTCAACAGCGGCAACAGCAACTCCAGCAGCAGCTGCTCAATCTCACTGCTCAACAGTTCGGAGGGATGAGCCTGAACACCCCGACTGCATATCGCCAGTCACAGCAGTTTCCTGCCACCCCCATGACGCCGCAGACGGGCATGTACAACCAGCACTCGCAGAACGGGTTTTCTATCCCGCAGCAGGTCGTGGGACAGCCGGGCGTCTATCTGGTCTACAATCAGATGACCGGCCAATACAACTATGTCACCGATACGACTTTGCAGCAAAGCCAATTTGCCGACTCTCCACCTCCACCCACGCCCAGTTACGCTGCGTCACCGCCGAAGATCGATACGCCTACCTTCCGTGCACAGGTTTCGCCTCCAAATGACAATGTTTCAAACCCCTTCCTGCGTGGCTCGTCGCCGCCGAAGAAGGCACCGTCTCCGCCGCAGGACGTGACGCCTCTGCCTCCTCCGTCCGCCAATGCTTTCCGTCCCGGCCATAAGAAGGCCTCGTCGCTGGCTTTCAAGTCCAATTCAAACATTCAAATCAGCGACGGACCAAGATCGTCAATCTCTCGCCCGGGCGGCATCCCACCAACTCCCCAGACTGGCACCTTCGGACCTGGTCAGGCTCGCGCTGGAGAGCATCCAGTTCGTCAGCCGCGTGGCCCTCCGCCCATGGAGGAGTTGGTAGCCGCACCCACCACAAAGCATGAGGGAAGCAAGAACTTTGCAACCCGTCAGCGCCGTCGTGCGGTCCACAGTCTTGTCCGTGCTGGAATCGAGCGCCGTGGTGCCCGCACCGGGAGTGGCGGCAGCATGACACCTGTTAGCGACAACGAGTTTCAGTTCTCGCTCCCTTCCGACAACGACTCTGACAGCGCTCGAAGCGGTGGCAGCCTCTCCGGCAAACCAAGCATTGGCAGTTTGCGAGCGGCGGCCAGCGGTGCTATTGGGTCTGAGCGCAAGGCTTCTCGGGAGAGGAACAGCGGCGACAATTGGACCGCAAACAGTGTCAGCAGTGACGAAGGTGCGAGCGTCGGTGGCAGACTCTTGGAAGTTCGTCCGGAGGAGAACAAGCCCCTCCCGAGCGAACGACGCACCATGCCGCGATTCATCATCAACAGTGCTGAGAAACGCAAGAGCGGCATGTTCTGAACAGTCGGCCAAGCGAGGCGCCGACGGCAAGTCAGGTGGTCGAAAGCGGAGCCTTTTGCGGCCACGGTGGGAGGCATCTGTTGCAGGATCTTCTTTTTGTCCCTTCTGAGACCGGATCAGCGACCTGTTCATACTTTGCGGGTTAAATGTTCTACAACGTTAACGGCCTATCACGATGTTACTTTCCATGCATTCGCAGCACAGATGTCTTCGATTTGGTCGCTTCGCCTGGTATCAGCGACGAACTGAAACTTGACACTGTTTATTCAAAAATTTCACTTGTGGTTCTGCTTCTGCTCGGCGGCTTGCAGCTGCTTGAGCTAGATCTTGAGTTCTTTACTGTCCTTTTCTCAAACCCTTAATCTTTTGTTGTTCTTCTCACGCGATCTGTGAGCTACGAGTATGCGGCGGCGGCTTTTCACAGAACGGATCTGGGGCGTTGTTAGCTGACCTGGGCTGTGCCGAAGGGTTTTTTTTCTCTTTGCTGTGTTGCTGTGCTTCTGCATATACTGGGCAGTCGTTTCTGGCCTTGATTCTTCCAGCTTAACTACCAGTCGTGTCTGCTAGTTTAGCGTTGCTTAAAGAGGGTGGGTGGGCGGTGGATGATGGGTTGATAGGACTCGGGTTAATGGAACAATCACTTGAACGAAAGAATGACCGTCTCCGCGCTGTATGCAGTGATGTGACAAGCTTTGGAGCCTCTCCTTCGTACCGTATGACACCTGGTGTGCGGAAGAAGGATCCGGAGTACTCGAATCTGATGCTCGGATATCCTCCGCAGTCGTCGAAGCTTGGCGGGGAGTTTTCAAAAGTTCCTCCCACATCAACGCCCGCGCAACCCATCCGCAACTAACGAATGACCACGACACCGACAATTGCGCCCGCACTACGACACACAGTTTCCCAGATACTCCCTCTACCATTCTACCGCTCCTCACACCAGCATGGCCCCTGAACCCATCGAACCCACCGCCTCACCCATAACCCTCCCCCCCCCCCCC